AATTAAATACAGCCTATTTGGTTTCTTTGTAATAAAAAGAAAAAGACCAAAATTAAACGCAAGAAAACGAGATACAATATAAAAACGAATGACTATAAACTAAACAATTTTAAGGTCAATAACAGTAAGTAATATATACTAGAATTATCGCGATAAATATGTCTAATAATAGGCACAGTTAAAGTGTATAGGTATATATATTCATTATTTACTGCTTTATTATGCTACAGAAAGTCGTTGCTACCAGGGAACAGAAATATTTGCAAAATTTTATGAAATCTTTATTTCAAATACTCATTTTTGACAATAGGTTCGTACAATGTTATAAGCCATACGTTCCTTTTTTTCCTTTACAAATATTCGTATTTGAATTTTAAATAAAAAATTGTACTAAGAGAAATTTTTAGAACGTATAAAAATTCAAATAAACGTTACTTTGTATGACAAATGACGCATGTAAAATTGTTCTTAAAATTTTATACCTCACTCGTTCAATCTTCAGAGTATATTTAGGGGAATGTTGTTCACAGTAATAGTTTGTACATACAATTGTACACGCGAACGAAAAAAAAAAGATTTTATAATTGTCAAAATAAAATTATCTAAATACATATAAAGTGCTTATGTTATTCTTCACTTTACTTTCTTAAATAAAGTGTAATTAAAAAGCCATGGAAACAACTTCCCCCGTTATGTAGTTTCATAAGTTTTCTTTCAGTAAACAATGCTTGCTCTGAAATACTTCCATGTACATTTTCACATTTTTGCGTTATTAGAGTATTTGTTATTGCGTTAAGTTGAGCGATGGTTGGCAATTTACATCGTGAAAAGAAAAAGAATAATTCATCGTTAATCTTTGATAGTTCGTAAGAAAGTCCATTGAAATTTCTAAGGAATAAACATTTATCTAATTTCAAATTATGTTTGATGTTACAGAACCCTGGACAAATCAAAGATGCTTCTTGTCTCCTGATCTTCAAGCACAGTTATACACTGTGTGCAACTTCTATATTAACATTTGTACATAACTTGAATTTTAGTACAGTTCCCTGATACCAGCGCATTTCTAATATCAGCCAGTACAAATATTGTTAGTTCATGTAAATTCAATAGTATACACTGTAGATTTTCGTAGTATGATTGCTGTTGTTGCAAACCTACTAAACTTACATTACTAATTTTTTTTTCATTTTTACCAGACAGATTTTTTTAGATGTAAATTACAATATGAATTTTCTTAAAGACATTTTCTTGAACGAGGCGATGCTGCTTACCTCATTTGAAACTTCAAGCAAAATTTGTCTCACACAGTAGAAATCTACAATAATATATAAAATAATATAAAATTATATAACGCTAATTAAACAAATTAGAAACATATTTTACTTTATAGAAATAGAATAAGTTTGTATATATGTAGCTCACCTAATATTCTTCACAGAAACATGTTCTTATAAATAAGAATCTTGTTTTAGGATAGATCTAAAACACAGGAATTATTAAAATGAAACAGATTTAGGACACAATAAATATTCTTTAGAAACATTTCCATATAATAATTCACTTACAACTTGGCGCTGCTGCAGATTCAAATCTTTTTTGTATCTGGTCATAGGTGAATTTGACAAAAGCATCATATTGCTCGGACAGCTTCATATTTAGAATCTGATCATATTCTTCTCGAATCTGTGTTTCTTGTTCCTTAAGCATTCTCTCGCAAATCAAGCCAACCTTGAAAATAATTGATTATTCATTGATTATTCAATCCAATATTTCATATTAATGCTATTAACATGGAGTCATACATAATTATTTGTCTGAAATTATTAATATATTGTATATACCTGTCTGAAAGTGAATAACGGTTTTTCCTTTCCACTAGGACTATAACTATATGAATTTGAACCACACACAGATGGGCTTGAAGGACTAGCAGGACCTTCCATGTCCGAAGAATCACCATTATTAGTTTGTGGACTAAAATGTAATTGTTTGCGCCGATGCAGTCTTCGAATTTCTTCTCTTATATTAGCAGCCATTTTTTCTATATATAAAGAAAATTATTGTCACTTGATATATTGTATTTCCCTAGTCATTCCACTTAACCTAGTTCATATGAATCATTACCTAACATGGCTTCTACAATTAATCAGATGTATATATTTTTTCAGAATATAAATTTAAAATATCCAAAACTAAGACATAATATAGTTTACATCCCTATGAGAGTAAATTTAAGGTCACAATAAATATAGAACAATGAACACTAAATCAATCGAATTATTAAAAATTGAATCTCATTTTCAAATAATATCAGAACGATACATGTACGCGGTGTCTCGATATTATAATCGAAAAGGGAACATTATTTTGGAAAATATCATTTGAAAATATAGGATAAAGTTTTCTCGTAGGAGGTTTCTTTTTCAAGAAAATTGAGATTTAAAAGTAGATGTGAAGCAAGCGTGCTATCAAATAGGTATCGCCTATTCATGATTTACTGTATCTACTGATGTGTGCATGACGAATCTTTAAACTTGAATTTCTCGAGAATAAGGCATTATATGAAAAAATTGTATCCTATACTTTTAGCTTTATGTTTCGGATAAGATCTTTTTTTTTTATTGTGCTATAAGAACTGGAATACCGTTTATAAAAATAAAGAAGAAAAGAAGTTTGATTCCTCGATGTCCGTTACTACATTACCATATGATTTACGCGTCCCCTCCCCTTCCATGGCAAAACGCCCTACCTCACCGCACCCCCCCTTTACAAACGTTGCGAATTCAAGTTTTAAATCGCTGGAATGGCCTCCTAACCATCCCTTCTCTACCGTCACATTGTACATAACGAGGAAATAGACAGAAATGAAGGGGAGGGAGCCAAGGAAAGAAAGAGAAGAAGGAAGAAGAAAAAGAAAAAGAAAAATGGCCGTGGCCTATAGTTAATTACCAGGCGTCAGTTTGTGGGCTACTTCGCCGAAAGGCGAAGGGTTCTGTGGCCTGGAGTTGGCCTGCGTCGATGTACCGGGCGAAACACACATCGGCACGCATCTTCGTCGTTTACTGGGACGACCATGACTATGCACCGGGTCGAACTCCAAAGATCTCTTTAAAGTGGCGCAGGCCATTTCTGCCGTTCACCGTCCTGGCTCACGACTGACACCCACAGATTATTATAGGCTTAGCCCGCGAGCAACGAATGATTATGCCGAAAAATACAGCAAAACCACCGTATACGCGCACCGCCTGAACAGTTTCTTAGAGTGCACTTCGACTGTTCTAGCTTCCTTCCAGCCGATCTCTTCGGATTCCGTTGTACGCGAACAAGGCTGCACCAAAACAAACACTGCGGTAAAACAATATGGCTGGCAACCACGGTTCGTCAGCTAGGAACGACCACGGAACGAATGTCTCGAGCCTTTAGAACACCATCTTTTCACAGGCCCACCGCTTCTGCATTCCGAAATGTATACGTCGTAGACTCGACTGAACCTGGCTTCTTGCCTCTGATTGGTCGAGACGTTGCACGATGGCGTCCCTGTGCATTTCCTTTCCATAAACTTGTTTGCTCCTTATGATCCATTTACCCGAGAGACGCTCGAGAACAGGGGAATCTATTTGATCTTCGCTCTCATTGGTTAGCGGCGCATTATCGTGACAGTGCTGCTATGCTGCTCTGCGTCGGAGACAAAGACGAACTATGTTAAAGAAGTGAGACGGCATTACATGTTGTACATATGAAATATGAACAGAAATGCTCGTGGAAATGGCATAAATGTAACTTGTCTCACTTCATCGTTTGTTTGCCTACATTTGTTTAAGCATGTGCTAATTTTACTAACCGAATAAATCTGATATTAAAACGCGATATAAAAATACGGGAGTAAAATTTATACTATTTCTATCTCTCTTGCACATTCCTTTTTCTCTTTCTTAAAAACCTGAACACTGACGGGTGCGCAATGATCTGGTGGGGATAGAAATGTGCGGTTACAGATACCATTTTGAATTGACTGTAACGTACATGTATGTACATATGTACAAATTTATTATGTACACAATTAAGATATGAAAATCAAGTACCCTTTAAACTCCAGTTAAAGTGATTAATTTCAATGAATATTTAAATATATTTAGGTTAATTAAAATTGAATAGCAGTTTAAAATTGATCACTTATCGTAGACGAAAAAGTTCGTGAATTTAATGCTCAGACAACTATTTCGTTCTGTTTTGAATATCGGAAAGCCTGAAATTATGAATGGATTACCATTCGCAAACAGTTTTGCGCGTTCCACTTGTAAAAGTGATTATGTATGTAAAATCTTTCAGAAGTTTGAAAGTTCAATTATGATGAATTATTATTTAATTTTCGAGAAATGAAATGCAAATTGCATCGTCTTAAATTTAAAGCATATTTTTATTAGTATTTCAGACATAGTTGATTTCAAAATTTGTTGTTAATAAATATCGACACTTTAAATATCGCTATAAATCTTTTTACCATAGTAAAATACGTAACACTTAACGTATTAATGCTGAACTGTAATACAGGTTTATGCCAACGAATTTGGCTTTCATTTGAAAATATGATTTCATTTTGTAAAGCATGCGCACGAATTCCGTCCATTGTAAATCTGGCAGTTTTTTGGGGGATTTTAAAACGATGGCGAAAACTTTGAGAATGTCGCCCTGATGTGCCATACGTAATTCATGTGGCACGCACCTGAAGCTATGCCGCCGCAGGGAGCGAGACGCACAATGGGGGACAGATGGCGGCGCTTTCAAAAATCGGTCGCGAAAGGCAACTAATTCCCGAGCATGATTTAGGTGTTGTTATAATATCTCCATTAAATCCATTTCCATTTATGGAAATGTTGTTTAAGAAATGGTAATATGAATACTAATTTCGTGCTTATAATACCTAGTTTTGAATTCAAGAAGATTTACAATACAAAAGAGGGGAATATTAAAAAACACAATTGTTATTTAATCATTTATATTCACATTTACAGAAAGATTAATACTGCTGCATTTTTGTACATATCTCCTGATATGTATTTTTGTTAACGAGATATTTATGTTTTTGCAAAGGCGAAGTAAGGTACAAATGAAAGAAGTCTGGAATCTGAATACTCTGAGCGTCATGACGACTTCGATGAAAATCCGACAAAAATTGAAACAACTTAAAATTTGTCTAGTTACACAAATATTGCACGTAAAATTATTAAAATTATCTTCGATTAATATCGATATAGGTAAATATACAACATTATGATAAATAACTATCTCATTGAAGAGTTAACAACATTCATACAAAACTATAACAATGTAATAGTAGCGTTAATACAAGAATAATAGAAACAAGAATACCGCTCTGTTAAATGTACAATAAAATATAAGATACAATTCATTAGAAAATTTAAACGCATTTAAAACATTGGAAAGCTGATTTGCTATAGATTATGACTATTCTAGAGCAGTGGTATAAAAGGAGTCTGCGGTTTTCGATCATGTACAAAGTTATTTTAAAATTATGAAAAACGTCTAGTGTTTAGAATTCTTAAGAGTGGAATACCTACACATTTAAAAATACGGTTAAGAAGACTACATTCATACATTGGATATTTTGGAAAATAGCAATGGCACTTGATACGTTTAAAACATTAATTGTACTACTATTTTTGATTGTAAAAAAAGGTTTTAGGTGTAATTGCTGCGGTTCATTATAGTTAAAATTCGACTAAAATACAGTTATCTATAAAAAATCTTCCGTAGATGTAACCGTAGCTTCTATAAGTAATCCAAAATCTAATTCGGCTAAACTAGCTGTAAAGAAATATATTTCATAATTTAACGTGTAAAAAACACAAAACAGACCGATGTATAAATTCATACCTTTTGCTGTAAGTAAATCGAGGAAGGTATCTAGTGGAGATAAACGATCTGCAGAGGGAAATGCAGCTAAACCTACAACAAATTTATTTCGTGTATATAAATACACAATTGTCTATATTTCTTTTTCTTGTTTCAATAATTTGTCGTTACCATTATGATGATTTCTATGCTGTGACGTTCTACCTCGATTTTGACTCAATTCACCAGACAATATATTCGCAGCGTGCTCTCGAGCTCTTATCATAAAGCTCACTGGATGCAACCATTGATTCAACAATCTCTTAGCTCGTGATCTTGGTAGCAAAGATAACAATGTTAGCTTACGAACAGCGTTCTCTTTTGTGTCGCTAATATCTATAGAATGAAAAATTGTCGTGAATAAATCATAAGCAAACATATCCAAATATAAAAGCGAATATTATACCAGCCATGATGATTTTAGTAACATCCACTTGCAACTCGAATACTGATCGTTGAATATATTGCAAGAACATCGAATACTTTAGAGTTCTGTATCCAAGATAAGTGAAAAATGACGTGAATCCTTGTGGTGCGGGAAACGCTATACCTTCTATCGCGCACCTGTAACGCTCTAATAGTAAGAACAACAACCATCGCCTTGCTTCGTCCAATTGATCGCTAAAAGTAATTAATTTATCATTATTATATATTAATACATTTATATTAATATATATTATATAATATATATCACATATATATTAATTTATCATTGCGTCTCATCTTACACTAATATAAAACCACGCTCTGGTTCAAGTCGAGGATCAACGTTCGCAGCTCTACACAACATTTGGCAAAGAGCTCTGGATGCTTCCAGTTGCGCTGCCACGTGTCTAGTTGCCATAGCATGAACATGTAGCGGTGTACAGGACCCTTGGACATGTATTACGGACGTCTGCGTACCATGTTTCAGTAAATACATCGACAATTCTCTTAGATTCACGGATACGACGTGCTCCTGCTTCGACGCTGTACAACTTTCGGTCTCGTTGAATGGCAAACTTGAATCCAATAGTTTATTGCTGCGGCCACCTGTCAGCTCGCCGAGTGACACGGTAGCCACAACCAATCTGCGACATTAATAATTCCAGTCGATTACATATTTAATCCATTCTTTACAATTTCTTCTTCTATAAGATTCGTATAAACAATTGAATTAAATTATAGTAGTGATAAACGTAGAACATGCAAATCGAGTATTGTTAATCAACATTAAACACGAAAAATAGCGTTACCCTCCGCTCGGAGACATTGGAGTACTGGATCTAGACAGTGCTTCGGGTTGATAACACGCTAAAGAAACTAACAATTTCTCTGCAACTTTGCTTGGCTTGAATCTTGTTTTGTCCCCATTATTTTTGCTCAGTTGATCCCATAGTCTAGTCCACAAGTCGCTACGATAAGGGATCAGTCGTTGTTGGGGTGAAAGCAACATTACCGATGTGTTCCAGAGTTTTTCGTGACTCAATGTTATACTCAAATCATTCACTTTGATCTCAAAACTTGTGTATTCTTCCATAGTTGTGACTGGTAGCAACGATAATAAAGGTACAGCATCGGCTAGCAAATTTTTTTGTACTAGAGCGTACGAACCACCGATAAGAATTTCCTGCATGTACCGTACTATTTCCAATGACCTTGGTTTTTCAGCGATCGAGCACATTAACTCCGAAATAATGTCCATATCATTTCTGTGGCAGAGAAAGTAATGGAGTATTCCCAAACGCACTTCCACTGACGATTCTTTACGAAATACTTCAACAAGGAAGTCAGAAGGGATTGTTAGTTGTACCAAGTCTAGTGTAGGTAGATCTATTGTTAGTATGCTCGTATTAGGACAAGTAATCGCGTTGCTTCCTTCAAAGGTAGCCGAATCGTATTTCTTTTTGCCTCCTTTGTTATGTTTTTCAAATTCAAGTAACGGTACCAAGTAAGAGGAACGCGACGTGATAGAAGTTAACGGGCCACACAGTATGTGACAACAGGGTTCGTGATTCGTTCCGATCTCGAGCAGGTGAGTAAACAAACCTTGCACCAGAACAATCATGTGATGATGTTCATAGATCGCAAACGTCGGTCGTATAAGTTTAGCCCGTGACCACGGTATGCCTGGTATAACACAATGAATCACACAGCTGTGGTGAAGAAGCGTTACAGAATATGCGAAGTGCACTGTATTAGATTCGTTCAGTGAGTTAAGTACATGCTGTTGCGGCTTTACCGGACGATACAAATAATGGTGGCAAACACAGACCATTCCTTTCGAATCAGAGACCACAATAAGATCTAACGAACAATCGTGAACTCTCAAAGGTATAACGTCGTCCTCGTATGTTCCACAGTTGGATGAAGTTGACAATTGAGGTAGATTCAATGGGATGTTTAACTGAAAAACAAGAAATATGCTTAAGTTTAAGTTTGTTTTAAAATATCGTGAGTTTCATATGACTTTGGAACGAATTATTTACCACTGTTTCATGTGGCAAATCATCGTGAAACTGTAGTCCGCTGAGCGTTGGATTACTTCGAGTAGATTTATTCTGTTTCTCTTCTTCGTTTTCCGAAACGACGCTCACCGGGATTCGTCGATGATGTATATGATATAAAACCTGATTCATCATGTCCCATTGAGCCCAAATAAAAGCTTTTACCAATGATTCTGATTTTAATTCTTTCATTGTACGAAAGTTTGATTCTGATGCATCAAATAATATGGTATATATTGTGATACCTGCACAATTGTAAGGTTTATGTTACATTAATCAGTAGAAAACACTCCATTGCAATTAATAAAAAGCTTACATTCTTGATGAATTAATAACAAAAATTTGTCCATATGTCCATCATCCTTTTCTCTGTATAAAAATTGTATGCGTACTTGCTTGGTCCTTTTAGCATTTAAATTATGAATTTTTACATTATCTTCTTGTAATTCAGCAATATATGCTTCATATGTTTCTGTGTCAGCTGATATATTTTCTTGCGTTTCTATTGCAGGTTCTACACTCAAGTCTGTACAAATTTTCTGTTTAGTCACATATCCAAAAACAGTCCGGCTCTGATTTATTGTTGCTTGAACTATATTTAATATTTCACCAAATCGATGTAATACCTATGTCACATAAACGTAAGTAATTTCAGATGGACAAACAAAGTTTGTATACTGGCAACACACCTGTAACTTATCGTTAATCCGGTCGTAATGGCCTACAACAGTATATGATGCAGATATGTCGTTCTCTATTATTTCCTCTGTCCATCCAACCAACAGAGACCCATCTTTTTCTTGGCCTAACAATTTCCATTGTTCCGCTATAAATTAATCTTTCGTGTTACAGAGCATATTTCAGTTATAATGTACGCAAAAAACAATGTATCCATCAACTGTTCGTAACTTTAGAAAAATTATGAAATCATGATGTGTACCTGACTGGGCTTTTTCCGGCAAAAGTAAGCATAACTTCGCAGCGAGATTTTCTACCATATCTATTGGCTGACTCTTGATCAGCAACTAGTAACCTTGTAATGTGTTTCTTCAGTAACAATGGTCAATCGTTGTCAATTTGTCAATAAGCATAAATTTTACGTGATTTTGACATTATCTGACATATCGTCTGCTACTGTTATGGCTACCCACCACCATAAAACCGACAATTAAAATAGATGTCCTCCAGAGTATACCGCCTATGTATGTACTGAATCTGATGAGAGAGTCGTTAGTTGAAGAAGTAGGAAAAGATGAAGGAAATTGTAATTATGTATTTCGTTCCATCACTATATTCATTGACTAACATTTTTGTGGTCTATTTTATTTTTCTTTGTCTTTCTTTCTCCTTCATAATTATTATTACCGAGTGACATTCTCAATTTTTGAATTACGTTTATTTCCTGCCTCCTTTGCGATGATATTGCAATGTAAAATCCGGCAAAAATCAATTGCTGTCTGGGCGATAGTGGAGTCTCTTGTAGCGAATAAATGAAGCTCCAATCAGAGTCTGTACAGCGCCAATTACTAAATGGCAAAATCCTGAGACTGTTAGCCAAATTAGCGGCAGTCGATCTTGGCTAACAGTTTGAGAGTTCTGCCACTATCCTAACTGGCATTGTAGAGACTTCGAACTAAACTTTGCTTTCTCTTCACAACAGGCGGCACAATTTTACACCCTTTGCATTTGCACCCTCTCTAGAAATGAAAAGAAACTGTTTTTTCTATCATATTGTAAATATATGCAATAATCTCTCAATTCAAGAACCATATCCGGGGGCAGCGAGGTTTTTGAATTGTGAGAATGCAGCGAATTGCTGTGCTCTTATTGGCTGACGATTCACAGCTGAACAGTGCTGTCTCAATAGTCAATGACAAAAAGAGAAAATAGCGAGTGTGCAAGCAGCACAGCAACACAACTACATACTGTGTGTATCCGTACGTCTGGCGCACCATTTGAAACACGCGGCGCGATATTCGACTTGTACTTTTCGCCTCGTAGGATTCTCGACTACATTTGCCAGAGAATTTGCGAACGATACAAGTCGAATATCGCGCTGCGTGTTTCAGATGGAGCGCCAGGCGTACGGATGCGCAAAAAGAGTGAGACCGTAAACACGGTAGAGCAGCCTAGATTTCTCGTCCGTGTGGATATACACATAGAATCCGCCGGGTTCGTTTGGGGATAGAAAGGTTCTTGAATCGGGAGAAGAAAAAGCTCTTGAATTAAGAAACTACTGTATGTGTATGCATTGTAACAATGAATTGTTTAAATGTCTAACTTATAACTGTAAATTAAATGTATCACGTGTTCGGCTGATCGTTACGATATAAAACATGTAAAAGCCCCCCACGTAAACATTCGATTGTATTGTTTACTAGAAATAAAATTATGTTATCTAAGACCAACTCTGAATTACCCGGNTTCCATTGTTCCGCTATAAATTAATCTTTCGTGTTACAGAGCATATTTCAGTTATAATGTACGCAAAAAACAATGTATCCATCAACTGTTCGTAACTTTAGAAAAATTATGAAATCATGATGTGTACCTGACTGGGCTTTTTCCGGCAAAAGTAAGCATAACTTCGCAGCGAGATTTTCTACCATATCTATTGGCTGACTCTTGATCAGCAACTAGTAACCTTGTAATGTGTTTCTTCAGTAACAATGGTCAATCGTTGTCAATTTGTCAATAAGCATAAATTTTACGTGATTTTGACATTATCTGACATATCGTCTGCTACTGTTATGGCTACCCACCACCATAAAACCGACAATTAAAATAGATGTCCTCCAGAGTATACCGCCTATGTATGTACTGAATCTGATGAGAGAGTCGTTAGTTGAAGAAGTAGGAAAAGATGAAGGAAATTGTAATTATGTATTTCGTTCCATCACTATATTCATTGACTAACATTTTTGTGGTCTATTTTATTTTTCTTTGTCTTTCTTTCTCCTTCATAATTATTATTACCGAGTGACATTCTCAATTTTTGAATTACGTTTATTTCCTGCCTCCTTTGCGATGATATTGCAATGTAAAATCCGGCAAAAATCAATTGCTGTCTGGGCGATAGTGGAGTCTCTTGTAGCGAATAAATGAAGCTCCAATCAGAGTCTGTACAGCGCCAATTACTAAATGGCAAAATCCTGAGACTGTTAGCCAAATTAGCGGCAGTCGATCTTGGCTAACAGTTTGAGAGTTCTGCCACTATCCTAACTGGCATTGTAGAGACTTCGAACTAAACTTTGCTTTCTCTTCACAACAGGCGGCACAATTTTACACCCTTTGCATTTGCACCCTCTCTAGAAATGAAAAGAAACTGTTTTTTCTATCATATTGTAAATATATGCAATAATCTCTCAATTCAAGAACCATATCCGGGGGCAGCGAGGTTTTTGAATTGTGAGAATGCAGCGAATTGCTGTGCTCTTATTGGCTGACGATTCACAGCTGAACAGTGCTGTCTCAATAGTCAATGACAAAAAGAGAAAATAGCGAGTGTGCAAGCAGCACAGCAACACAACTACATACTGTGTGTATCCGTACGTCTGGCGCACCATTTGAAACACGCGGCGCGATATTCGACTTGTACTTTTCGCCTCGTAGGATTCTCGACTACATTTGCCAGAGAATTTGCGAACGATACAAGTCGAATATCGCGCTGCGTGTTTCAGATGGAGCGCCAGGCGTACGGATGCGCAAAAAGAGTGAGACCGTAAACACGGTAGAGCAGCCTAGATTTCTCGTCCGTGTGGATATACACATAGAATCCGCCGGGTTCGTTTGGGGATAGAAAGGTTCTTGAATCGGGAGAAGAAAAAGCTCTTGAATTAAGAAACTACTGTATGTGTATGCATTGTAACAATGAATTGTTTAAATGTCTAACTTATAACTGTAAATTAAATGTATCACGTGTTCGGCTGATCGTTACGATATAAAACATGTAAAAGCCCCCCACGTAAACATTCGATTGTATTGTTTACTAGAAATAAAATTATGTTATCTAAGACCAACTCTGAATTACCCGGTAAATCCGCAATGTGTAATTAATTTTAGTTGCAACTGATTGGTGTTACGTACAAAATTAATGCGTCGACTAATAATTTTATGTTTTCAGCTGTTCCACTGCGACTTTCTTTATTTATAATTATCGTATTGTCCCTGTGCTTTGCTAACAGTTATAATGGTGATTTCGTATTTGATGACACTGAAGCAATTGTCAACAATGAAGATGTACAGAGCACGTCTATCAAGAATATATTTGAAAATGATTTCTGGGGGGCTAAATTAACTAACAAACAAAGTCATAGATCCTATAGACCTCTGACAATATTAACTTTCAGGTAAGACTTTTGTATAAAACGAAAAACAGTATATTTATGTTTTAACATTTATTATTTTACATTGTTGTTAGATTACATTTTTGGTTTCGTAATGGTCTGGTTGCCCAAGATTATCATCTAATCAACATTATTCTACATACAATTGTCTGTATCCTTTTACTGGCTGTATTTCTTGTAATTTTGGGTTCAAAAGAAATGACTACTGCATTTTATGCAACAGCATTGTTTGCTGTTCATCCAGTACATGCAGAAGCTGTATGTTGTATCATTAAAATTATATTATGCACATATATAGTAAGTTGATATTTTTTCTTTTTATATTTAGGTTTCAGGCATTGTAGGTAGAGCAGAATTGTTATGTGCTCTATTTATGTGGCTGTCCATCCTGTTATATTATCACTCGATCAATGCAAGCAGACTATTCTACAGATGGTGCAACATGTGTGGTTGCATTGCATCCATTGCAGTTGCAATGTTGTGCAAAGAGACTGGTATCACTGCAATTGTAAGAGAGATAAAACATTTTTATTATAGGTGCATGCATCTCTACATTTTGTGTCCATATTAGAATTAATTGAAATTACTTACAGGGAATTTGCAGTACTTATGACCTCGTAATAGTAAACAAAGTATTCCCATCTGATGTAATTAGATTGATGAAGACAAAGCTTTCTTACGCAGAGGCAAAAGAATTCATCAAGTTAAAGCAGAAGTTCATAACTAGACTTTTTATACTTTTTATATCTGGTTTGTTACTTATGGTTCTAAGATTTAGTGTTATGGGATTCAAAACACCAACTTTTCAACCTGTGGATAATCCTGCTTCATTCATGGACAATACATTTTTAAGGCTACTGAATTATAGTTATATTTATTCTTTAAATGCATGGCTGCTGATATGTCCAGAATGGTTATGCTTTGACTGGTCCATGGGTTGTGTATCTTTGATTACTGGGTACGACAGTAGGATACTCATTGTAATTGTTTTTTGGTTGATACTTGGTACAATGATTACATGTATCTTTATTCACCGTGAAGACATGTTTTTAAGGTAATAACATTAGTCAAAGGTGTTACAGATACGAAACTCATATAAATAAATCTTTTTCTTATTTTAGATCCTTGATTATGGGACTAGCAATACTGATTATTCCATTTCTCCCAGCTAGCAACATATTTTTTAATGTCGGTTTTGTCTTAGCAGAAAGAACTCTATACATTCCATCTGCTGGCTATTGTCTCCTATTTGTTATAGGATTACAAAAACTTTGTAGTCGTGTTTCTGTGCAATATATTCTATTAGCTTACGTAGTTTTGATTTCATTGTTCTTCGCGAGATCTTGGTTGAGAAGTGAGCAGTGGAAAACTGAAACTGTGCTCTTTAGATCAGCGTTGCATGTTTGTCCGCTAAATGCAAAAGTTCACTATAATATTGCTAAAAATGCTGCAGACGCCGGGAATACTACATTAGCGTTGTACGAATACAAAGAAGCACTAAGGTATAAAAAGATAAGAAACATTTAGAAGGTATATTCACGTTGATTAATTTGCTTTTAATGATCTTTTTAATAGATTGAATCCCAACTATGCTCAAGCAATGAATAATCTTGGTAACTTGCTCAAAGATCAGGGAAAGTATATAGAAGCAGAGAGTTTATTTAGACGGGCTATAGAGCTGCAGTAAGTCTGTTTACAACCGACTATTTAAGATGCAATGTGCAGAATGGAAGAGTAAATGTAATTATGCTTGGAACTTTCCATTTTAAAAAGTAATATGACTAAGTTGTGAGTTTTAGGGATGACTTTGCTACAGTGTGGATGAATTTAGGTATTGTTCTATCAGCTCTAAAGAAGTACAATGAATCTGAGAGAAGTTATTTAATGGCACTGTCACATAGATCGAAATATCCAGATTGTCTTTATAATTTAGGTGTTTTGGTCAGTAATGCTTACTATCGATTTATAAAATTGACACATTATATCAAACTTTGTTAATTACAGTATCTGGAACAAAAAAATTATGACAAAGCGCTAAAAGCTTGGGAATCTGCTACAAAGCAGAGAAAGAACCATAGAAGAGCGTGGACAAACATGATATTGCTTCTCGATGATTTGGGTACGCGAAAATAGAAAATATCGTGTTAACGTTTAATATAATAATTTTTATTTTAGGTAAACGCAATGATGCACTTAATATAGCCTATCGAGCTCTTGACTTTTTACCTGACGACGCTTCAATTCATTTTAATATTGCTAACATACTGGGCAAAGTTGGAAATTTCGTAGAAGCAGAAGTGTATTTCAAAAAAGCGATATCAAAAGATCCTACGAATTCGATGTTTTATACGAACTTGGGTAAATTTTAGTTTCAATTAAGTAGTCATGCTCAGTTAGGAGTTAAAAAAATTGGTGTTCTTTGGGAATTTAAAAAAAAAATTTTAGCATCCTTTTCAGCCAATGTTGCTTTATTTGAAAAATCAAGCTTTTTATTACTAATTGTATTTTTTTATTGAAAAATATGCAAAAGTGTGTAAGTTATGGCAATTTTCCCGAAGGCTTTCCAAAAAAACATTTAGCAGTGGTCAGCTTCACTGGGTCCACAGTTATCTGAAATCATATGCGAAAAATATTTCTTTAGCTGATAATCTAAATTTGTCCTTGAACGAAGTTTTTAAAATATTGATCTTTGATATGATGGCAGGCGTTCAAAGTGAGTTTTGATTTTTTTATGAAAAATAAATCTTTTTACTAAAAAAAAATCCTTCGTTGAAGAACAAATTTTTTGCATGTACAAAAGGCAGTAAAAATTTCGTATCGAGAAAAACGCGTTTAAAGTTTCAACTTATGTTTACTCATAAATGTTTATTTTTTACTCACATGGAATCATCAATTCCTGGCTTATATTGGCCATCTTCTGCTGGAGTACTAGCCTCTAAAACATTTATTTGTCAGCATATGTTTCAGAAAGCACAAAGCACAACAATCCACAAGTCCATGTGCATTGTTAGTTTGAAATTTTATTTCTCCGTCACACACTTTACACTTCACAAGTGTTGAAATTATTACAAAAATTGTAAGAAACTGACAATTCTATATTTCACAGAACTATCTTGCGGCACAGTAATGTCTTCCTGCAATTTTTTCGCTGATGTACTGACACTCCTCTCACCATTTTTAGCGGTTTTTGAATTAAAAAATTGTTTCCATTTTTTCGCACTAATAAACTAAATTACATGCTAAACTGAAAATTGACTAGACTCAAAAACTGATTCTTTCAAGATCTCTGACTAAGCATGACCTCTTAAATTGTACAAGGTTTACTTTTGAGCGTGAAATTAAATTTTATAATTGCAGGTGTACTGTATCATCGATGGAATAAATTAGACGAGGCAGAATATATGTACAAAAAAGCATTAGAAATTAAACCAGAATTCAATAGCGTTAAAAACAATTTGAGAAAATTGTACACTTTGAAATCATCAATAAAATAATGTATATTATAATAGGAAAGTAGATTACATGTTGTGAAAATGACACTACTCTTTAATATTTATATTTCTCCTTTCGTGTGTTCGATATTACGCGGGTATGCAAATGCATTAAAATCCCCAACTTTTTTACCGTTGATGTAATTGTACGATTTAAAACAATGATTACAGAAGTAGCAGGGATTATGTGGTATCCTTTCATGGTCCAAAGTAATCCACTGTGCAATGAAAGCACCACATATCATACAATATTTAGAAGATAAAGGTCTTAGTCTCACGATTTGTGGATATGCGAATTCATGCAAACTATCATCATTATTGATTAGTCTGAAAACAAATAACTAACTAAATTAATGAATTCCTATAATGATTATAAATTCAATAAAATTACCTCGCATCACTGAACACAATTAAATGTTCACATCCGCCTTGATGCTTATAAACCCATGGAAAACCAAATCTCAAAAGCAAGGAATCTATTCTACACTCCTCCATCTTGGCAGTTTTGAAAGGTCCCAAACTTGGCCGCCTTTGTGTCCACTCAATGATTACTTTGCTGTAATCAATATTTTCAGGACATCTAGTATCATTATAAAAAGTGTCCTCTATAAAGAAGAAACCAGATTTATACACATCCTAAAATAACAAATAAGAGTTAACTATAAATATGATTGCAAACGTTTAGCATAGATGAAAATATGATTTACTTTTGCCATTGGTCCTATTGCATTCTTTAAATCTTCGCTGCATTCTTTAGAAATAGTATAATCAGATACGCAAGATATTTTGTCACGCAAATCAGCAAGTGTTTGAGAACCCAGTACTGCTATAATACTATTCAGTCTCAGTGTGGAAGCACATTGTTTTGTAAGATTCTTAGTTCGTTGAGCAAAAGGATGATAAGTCCTGACAAAGACCAAAATATCTTGTCCAGGAATAACAGTTCTATGACCTTTTTCTTTATCTTTATCGTAGTGCTGAAACAAAATAAAATAATTACACTATGGAATGCTTGTAGATATGTAAGTATTACTTCAGATAGACATTTACTATAAATATTTCACTTTGATACTTGTAAAAAGACTGTTTGTTTCCTTGTTTCAATCTTTTCTTCAGATTTTGAATGGTTTGCAAGTTTATATCTGGTGGTTCTTGAGGGCCAAATGTCTCTTTTTTCCTCAATTTCCTATTATCATTAAATTTTGGCATCTCCCCTTCAACTGTCAAGTTGTCTATACTAATAACAAAATAAGTATTTTACATTTCAAACATTTCAAAATGTTTTATCTAATTAGAAAGAATACCTGCAGTAACTAGCCAACATAGACATTTCTTCATCTGCAAGCTGAACTCCCATTAGGGTCATCAAATTAGAGTTATTCTGTTTCAACGGTATAACATTTTCGGTCGACCCTATCACGTTAAGATACTCATCAAAATATTCTTTCAATTGCACCTTCGGAGAAGAATTGCTGTTGTAAAGTTTGTATACATCGTCCATTGTTGTTGTTATAGAGTTACACTAACATTAACTTATAAAATGGCAATTCTATAGAACTGTCAAACAATGTGACAACTGTCACACCGTTATTACAGGATGGAATTATTGTTATTAATTTAAGAATTTGCCGTGTTTGTATAAGGTATGCAATAAATATCCGGCAAGAATCAAGAATCAACTACTTGCAACTACTGTTTGGATAATAGTTGCATCTCGTGGAAAAACTGGAGCTTTATTCAGCGTTCTTGTAGCGCCAATTAGTAAATAACAAAATGCTCAAACTGCACTAGGCTAATTAGCACTGTACCTTCTTTCCGAACGAAGTTCCGAGATTTCATCAAAAAAGGTGCTACTATCGCTGGTGTAATTACTGCATCGGTATCATTTGGCTAGCAGTTTGAGCGTTTCGCCATTTACTAATTGGCGCTGCAGAGAGATTGATTGGAGTTTTATTTATTCGCCACAAGAGGCGCCACTATCGTTCAAATAGCAATTGATTCTTGCTGGATTTTACATTGTATCTTATGACAAAAACGGCAAGTATCAATCTTTCTTGATATTTGCATCAATAACTAAAATTTTTTTGGACACGATATAGATCTAGTAGAATCTCCTGAATGTTTCTCTGTTCACAGAATATTTTGTAAAACCACAAATTTTTGATACACGCATCTTTTTTATACACAAGGTTCTCGCGGTTAATACAAACTTGGATGGACGAGCGCATGAGAACACCGCGTGTTGTTGTTGTCATTTCTTTTTCTTGTTCGAAAATGACACAACAACAACGCTGGTCCATAATTGTTCAAATTTCTTACTCAATATGTAAATATTAAAAATATGTGCAAGACGTAGCATATAAAACTTCTAGGTTTTTTTAATATACAATTACTCTACTTTTGAATTTTCTATACTCAAGGTCTAACGAAGGTCATAGTGTCATAGTTCATTGAACGGGTCTCGACCTTGGCTATTGTATAACTATGATAAAAATGTGTAGTCGCGTCGAAAAAAAGCATCGAATACCTTGAAATACCGAAAACTACAATTTTAAAAGTTTGTACACTTTCCAAGCTAAATGATGTTTCTTTCAGATATTTTCTCCTATCGTCAAGAGCAAGTGTATGTCACATTGCTGTCGATTAATTATTTTTCGTACATTAATGATGTATCTTAAATATTCAAGTAACACTAGCCGATTGCTAGGAAACCGCAAACGAAGTCGGCCATAGTAGAACAATTAATTCTAGAAAAATATAAAGTTCGTTTTACTGCTAACTCAGCACTGGCGGATGGCAAAAGTGTGCAGCCAACGACAGTAGAATAAGACAGTGATCGCATGGCACGAGGACGCAATGAAGAGGCGTAAACTACGGTGGCTCACGGAGCGGTGCTCTCGCCAATGGTCCGTGCGACCGCAGGGCTCCGCCTCTTAAGCGTGGCCAGTTTTCCCCCCTGGTGCGTATCGTGATTGTCAGCCGCGCTTGGTCGAGCGTGCGCAGTGTAAAAGTACAAAGTGTACACCCACGCACACGCTCTTAGCATCCATGGCCTAGGAGGCGAGGACGAAGACTCACGCTAGAAGTGCGCAGAGAAGTGTGCGCGATGTGTCGATGTGACCGAGTCTATGGATTGGTTGGTTCGACCACTTGCAGCCCTCTTCGAGTTCCTCTGCGAGAGGATCGCGAGCTGTTCCTCTCTGGCTTCGGTCTTCTCGTTTATTCCCCTCTGCGTCCGATCGTCGAACCTCTTCTAATCAAATGCTTTCGCGGCGGAGCGACTCTTCTCTTCTATCTTGCTCGTTCCTTTCAATGATTCCCATTCTCCTCTCTTTTCACCGTCACACTCTTACCGCAACAAGTAAGTAGGTGGGCACTCGCGTTCTCTTTGACGCACACACCGCCGTCAGCTAGAGATAGGCTCTCTCTCCTCGTACGTGTGCTTCACGCACGATGCGAAGAAGCGACCACCACAAAGAACAGCCGGAGGCGGGGGCGGGAGTCGCGCTCTAAGGCCACGCTAGCCGGAGAGGAGATTTCTTATTTCTGCTCTGGTAAATCTGTCGTCCCAGTCAGTGAGGCAGCGAAGGGCGAGCCGCGCACCATTGACCGTGTCCGTGCTTCTTTTTTCGTCTCCTCTAGAAACGCCACTCTCGCTACCCGGTGTTTGCCGTGCCTCTCCCTCTCTTTCTCTCTCTATCCCTCTCTATTCCTCTATTTTTCCTTCTCACTTCGTCCCACGCGCGAGAGAAGTCTCTCTCTCCTTCTCTCCGTCTCCGCTACAGAAGCACGAGACGGTGTAGATACACAGACACGGTACCGCACCCCGTTTGCACCGGTTATTTACTATCGCGCTTCATTGTCGCGTTTCACCCTCGAGTGGCTCTCGTCGGCACGCGTGAATGAACGGAGATCGCGTGGATCCAGCTCCACGCTCGACATCGTCTCACCGTCATCCTTTCTTAAGTATTTCGGCGAGTTGTCGCGGTTCCGTGTGAACAGTTTCGTTCCGGCTTCATGAAGACTCGGTTGGTGGTTGCAATTTCTTCCGCGTCGAGCCGGCCGGGGAACTCGCGAATAAACTTCTAAGTCCTCGGTGTTCTCTTGGATCCCCTGTCGTGATTGTGAAGCAACGACCATGCCCGACATCTACGGAAAAATGTAAAGTAAGGGGATGCCGACACGCGAGAGAACTCGGTGGTGTCACGTGAGAACAGTGTAGGGGACACGGAGGTCATCTCGGCGCGATCCAAGAGGTACCTGGATCCAAGGGACATCGGGGATTCGTTGGCCAACCGGGTCCAAAGAAGATTTCCTTGGATCTCACGCTCCGACGAAGGGATCAAGCTTTTCGAGGTCCGCAGAGTCACGGAGGAACGTTGCATGTAGCCGTCGGCTGCAAGCTCGCTCTTTCCGATGGATCCGTTGGTGCTAGGTGAGCGATCCCCTCTGAATTCTGTAGTTAACATGTAATGTAAATATATGTACCGCGGCGATACCTGATTAGCGATTACGTAACGCGGCTGCAAACTCGTTGGCAAGGATCGTCGCGATCGATTCTAGTTCGAGCGTCGCGCCGTCGAAACGGATGACGATCGATGATACATGAAATATGCAATAAGCAAAGGACCTCGTGATCGTGAAACAAGTAGCGTGAACAGCGATCGGCGCGGCATATCGATCGAACGGTTCTCTGCGATTATCTCTAGTATCCAGTGTAGTAACTCTCTTGTGTCCTGTCGTTTGCTCGGGGCGTCTTCTACGATGATAGATTAAATCGTTGTCGTGCGCGGTGTATTGTGTCAATCAACTTCGACCTAATTGAATTTATAATTAAATGAGACGCGGTGCCACGGATGTATCTCGTGGCGCCGTCGGCCAGTCGCACTTATTAATTTCGCATACCACGATAATGGGATAGTTGGAGAATAGATTGGTGCAATATCAGCCGACACGGACCATCGACGGGAACAGTGGCATGAGGCGGCGACGCTCGTTTTCTCGCAGTTTCTTGTTTCTAATTAACAGAAGCCACCGACGGCCTTCGGCGCGAAGAACGCGCAATAAACATGCAATAAACCGTCTCATTAAAGTCTCCGCGGCGTGTAATGCGTCGATTTCCTGTTTTGAATATTCAATGAACGCCGGTAATCCTTTTGCGTTCCGTGACAGCTCTTGTGCAGACTCGAAGGTTAATCTGCGGGATAAAAACAGTTAGGAAAACTGGACGTCTGTCGGACGAGATACACCTATGCAACGGGCACCAGTTCCCATACATAGAAAATCGACTGCACTCACATTTCTTCGGCAACCTTTGGCCCCGCTGGGTCCCTTATCGCCCAGCTTTACGTCTTCTTTTTTCTTCAAACTCTCGACAAGACGGTGCTAACGTACAAGGCTCGTCGATACCGAACGATCGTCGCCTAATAATTATGTTAGCCGCACGGATATCGAAACCGACCGGTCCAACGTGATTGTTTCATAACTGTTCGCCGACGAGGACGTTCGTCCGCGAGATCTATGCGCCGGACACTGGTCCACGTCCAGCCGGCAAGGTATTTATATTCTTCCGAATAGTTTCGGGACTCCGATACTTCCGAATATTACCGATGCACACGGTCAACTTCGCCGAACTGCGATCCTTGCCACGTCCATTTATTGTAGATCTTACGTCGAAGTGTGTCCTCTAATAGAAAATGTGATATCGATCTTCTCGACTCGTCTGGATCTCGAAAGGCCCCGCGAATTTCGGACGGGTTCCTTCAGCCTGCACAAAAGAACGTGTCATTATGAATCGAGAAATAATGGCGCGCGAAAATCGGTAGTGCCGAGGCGAGTCCGTATCATGACCTACATTTTGGTAACGCGATCATTAATCACGAAGATGTGCCACGTTTGTTGTGACGCGTGAAACGTTGCCGATGACCCAGATCTAACGTCATCCCAGTAGTAATCTCGGTGGCTTTGCCACGCTTAATCGAACGACGGACACGCGTCGTCGACGAATTATTCGAAATCGAACGGTTGTTGAAATATTGAAGAGAAGAGAAAAATGAAAAAAAAAATAGAACGCGAGCCTTGAACCCGCGACAGCAGATTATCTGCCGAGAAATTCGGAACGTCCCGTTATCGTCCGAATAAAACGGACGGTCGAACTCTGTACAGGACTAATCGTTCGGAAGCGAGAGGAGGTCCGATTAAACTTTTGCGGAACGACGAATACGGGTGAAAATAACGTCCGAGGTTTAAAACGCGTCTCGGCGTTATCAGCTTCTTGCGTTCGGTCTCTCGTCCACTTCTTTTATTCCCCTCCGATGACGTTGACAATCCCTCGGAGTCATTGACACCAATACAGCCTTAACCGCGTACGGTTCAAGACCTTGATATGTGAATGCGATACATTGGAAACGTACACGCCGAGATAAACTCGACCGATCGTACTCTTCCAGCCGGAGAGATACGCTGGACAATAAAAATTTGTCACGACACATTGTAACGAGAACCGATTAACTTTAACTTTAATGTTTTTGCATTATTTTGCACGATTCGAACTGGAAATGCGACGATAGTAAACGGAACGGGAACTGCAAAATGGCGGAGAATCGCCGCCTCCCCTATCTCAGAGCCCTAAAGGATAGCACGGTTAGTATTGCAACTACATATGTTGTTCAGTTTTCGTTTGTTACCGTTTCTTTTGTCGCGTCGGTTCAAATAAACAATCTGATTGTCTTCGGCCAGAGGTTCCAGACCAGTAGAACGATGTTGACAGTGGCGGAGAAATGTGCAGTTACAGATTCATTAGCGTTCAATTAGTAGCGTTTGTTCCAGTTAAACAAGGAAGCCAGCTTTTAAAGGGTACGGTTGACAAAGGACTCCGCAAATAGTTGTATTAGCTTCTGGAGTTCGCTCTCGAGGTACCTCCGCGCTACGGGCCGTTCGTCTGCCGCTCCTCTTCACAACGTTACCAACAACGTCCTGAAACTTGAAAAGGGTCCAGGACGAGTCGTTGTCGCTAATTTTGTTAATCCCTCGGAGCGCCCAGTAATTCTATCTTCTCGTTAAATAATTACCAATTCCGGTAGAGTTTCCAAATATTTCAAAGAAGTTTCCCGACATCTTTCAAGTAGCTAACAGTAAGAGGATGCTAAAATTGTTTTTGGATGTTGTACAATGTCTCGTTGCACGCGCGGCGTGTCGTTGATACTGGAGATAATCCAAGCGCGGCGAATATGATCCAAAGTCATGTGTACCTTCGGAAAGAAAAATATTTGCTGCGAGCGGTAAATCAGCTTCGATCAAGAAGCCGTGTTATCTGCAGTATATTCAGCAAATGTATTATTCTCGCGGATGATATTTAGAAATCGGTGGAATCGCGCGAGATCGCGTGCGATCGCGTGACAAAAGTTGGCTGCAGACTGTGGCAGAGTGGAACGTATCGCATGGACTATTTCGTTTGCAGGCAACGATCCTACGGCAAGACGGCTCCGAGATGCATTGTCGACAAGTTATTACTTGCACGATTTGGTGGTAGAGTTCTGCATACCTGTCCCGTGACTGGCGAACCTGGCGGCCCGCCATCGGAATGCTTTCTAATCACGCATCCCAAAAACTCGGGACATTATGTCGTTGGTACATAAAGAGAAACGACCGAAGCCACGTGTCCAAAACATTGAATTCTACGCCTCCGAAGTTTGTCCTTTCCAAAGAAACTGCAAGCTCGCGGTGAATTATGCCGATCTTCGGTGTCGTCGCGTCGCCGGGGCGTTTGATCCTCTTCGGGGTGGACAGGAAACGTTGTTTTCTGGTTAACCGGAAGCCTCGGGTGCCCCGAACTGCAAAATTCATTCTATTATTATCGTTCCTGTTCGAATCGGCTTCTGCTTTTGATTTTCGCCCCTTCGCGAGACGCGGAGAGAGCCGTTCGCCGGATCGAAGACGAAAAGAAAAAGAACAGGGCGCACTTACGATGCTGCGAGTTTTTTGTTCGTCGATCGGATATATTTCGGTCCCACTGTCATCGCGTATTCCAGATGTGAGCGAGCCCGCGCGCACGGACGTGCACACATACGTGCGAGATAAATTCTGCGCGGATGTATTTTAGGTGCACGAAGAAAGGTGCGGTCCTTTCCCGCCTTTCTGTCCGCGGGGATGAAAAACTGTGAAAGAATTAGGTGGCCGGGCTGGCGATAACGACGTTTTGCAACTTTCGCGCTCAGCGGATCTCGTTGCTTCTCTCGACAAGCAAAGTTGTTGCCCAAGTACAACATCGCGCGAACGGGAAACAAAGAGAAAAATATACATATAGAGACACGGAGGAGTAGAATCGATTGCACCGAAGGCCCGCAGACGCGTGTGCGAAGTAGCGTAGTAACGATGAAATTGAACGAGGTCAGACGGTTATCGTGAAAAATGCAGCGCGATTAGCGCATAATTAATTTCCTCTTGCGTCAAGTTGCATAAATTTCGCGGCTATAAATACATCCTCCGCAGATCTAACGAAAAAGGCAGACGTCCGCTCTTTTCACGATATCTTCGCAGTGGCAGCAATTTCTTCGGAGCGGCATAAGGAAATATTAATTATGGGCCTGCGCGTATTGTCCAGGCACGCGAAAACGAAAGCGATAACACAATCGCGGTCTGCTTCGGTTGTGACCGATTTTAACCGCGAACGTTCAAAAATCGCGACCGGTTGCCAAGAATCATTTTCGACGTACGATAACGTTTGGCCGGAGCCCAGGTTTATGATGCTACTGGAAATAATGACGAGACCTGACAGGACTATTTTCAAGTCATGGATACACGTGGCGAAAATCTATAACGGAACCTCTTGCTATCGATACCCTTATTTCGTAGACGTTCGCGTAACCGTAAGCTCCGTGCAGCGAACTTATTGTTTTCCCGAAAAGTACAAAATTAAGGTAAAGGCACTCTGCATACTGTTCGTTTAACGCCACATTAATGTCGGAAACTCGATCGTTCCTGGTATCGTTTAACTTTTTCGTCCCGGCTCGTTCTTGTTCGCGCCCGGGAATTAAGAATCTTTAATTTCTGACGCGCTGCCGTTGCCGCCACCGCGACAAACTAATCACTGACATGTGCGCGGTGCCGCGGAAATTAAATTAAAGATCCGTTTCTATAGGAGCAGGCAGGCCGACAAAGGGGACGGTGCCCGAGGGGCCGATAATTAGCGAGTGAGAATGGTAGACAAACACTGGTCGCGTTCGGGACATCTACGTAAGTGAAACACGTGTTTTCGAGGGTGACACTGACATCCATCACTCGTTCCGTGCACGCCCACGTCTCGGACGATGCCTCGCCGTTCACTCTTCTACTTATATATCCGGGGCCCTTTTCGCTCATCCTTTTGCTCGCGATGATTTGTTCGGCCCCTCGCCTCGGTATCGTTTTCGCGGATTTCCAGTCACCGAATTAGCCGATTCCGGGTCGGGCGGGACGTTTAGGGTAGAATCTGTAACACGGTGTCACGCTTAAATTAATACAAACGCGTAGAATTATACACTTTTCGCGTACCGGTCATTGTTTTCTTGGAGCATTTGCTCGGTTTAGATCGAAACGGTGCAAGGTGTTTGTGAGGCTGAAGAGAAAAGAGTAAAACCTGTCGTCTTAAATTTTCGCGTTAAATCTTCGCGCATGCAGAGTTCTCAAAGTGAACGCGATGCTCCCCGTTGCGAAACGTCCCCTAATAAAGTGCACTAAATGTCTCGCAACGTCACGGCCGAACGTTATCAATTACCGTCACGGTAAAATTACCGCTATCAATCTGGATCGCGAGCACCGCGTCGACTTCCACTATTTCGCGAGCATAATTCACCGTCTGTGACGAACTCTCCGGCCATCGTTGCACAATGAGGCTGCTGTTGATTCCCTCGGTAACCGGGCCTCTTCCTCTTTCCCTTTCGTTTCGCCAGGACACGGTCTCGGATTTCCCGGTGGATCCCGCGAATCCAGGAGGAATAAATCGTTGCGGGAAGATCGAGTGGGTGCATACATCTGCGGATCGTCGCGTGGAACAGCATTTCACGCACGCACACGCGTGAACGTCGCCGTGCACGCAATATTATTAGACTTTTTCTCGGGGCGCACGGTGATGAATGGCCGAGATCAAAGGGCCCGGCGCGTGTAGTCATTTTACACGCGTGTAATACACGTACTTAAGACGAGGAGAGCGACCGATGCCTGCGTGTGTGCGTGTCCCATCTCCTCGCACATGCTACGCACAAGGAGGATTCTTCCTGGGACATCGGAACTTTTACTTTTCGCTAATTCGTCCTCGGCTCCCAATCATCCCGACAATTCTCTGCCCGCAAATTTGGTTCTTAAGACGGGATGACATCGAGCACCGAAACATTTCATTCGCCAGCTAACCGGGTAATTTTTCAATCCTAAACGCTTACAAGGACATATACCGCTTACAATTAATTCGTCTCCTCCCGATAGTAGGTTAATCTTTCAACGATTCAGAAACTGTCTATTTAATGATCTCTACTCCATGACTCGGAAACGCAGGGGTAGCTCATTGCCGACGCTTATTGCCGACTCCTATTGAATTTCCAAGAGCCGAAAGTACCGTGCTCGGAAGACTAATGCTTTGAGGGACAAGAAAAACAGTGGTTCATGTTGTAAAAGTGACTCGAGAACAACACACTGTATTCCATTAATATTGAGGCAACCAGTTGGCACTCGTAAGTTTCAACGGTGCTGACAGAAACATCGTTCTCCTGGAAAATTCGTCGCACGTATAAATCTATCAGACGAACGGTTTATCCCCTCATTAATTGCTCACCTCCGAACAAGCCGGCTGTATAAACCACAAGGCCTGTCTTCAGTTTAACGACCGCTACTCCCTCGCGATCGAACGATCGTTCGCAAAAAGACGGGGCCTTTAATGTAACGCAGCTCATTAAGCCCAAATCGTTGGAGTTTAACGGGCCAGATCGGGGTCGTTCCGCGAATCTGCGGTTCGCTCGGGAAGCCGTTCGCCGATCCCCATTCCCGGAAAACTTGATCGGACCTTGGATCAAGCTCACTGGATCGTTTGCTGCCTCAGGGTTGTCTGGAAACTGTGTCTGCTTTGCAAAGCACGCGCAAGATTTTCCCTTCGCCTCGAAATTCAGCAGTACGAGATGAAGGGATTGCGATTCCCAATTCGCAGGGACGCGCAGAAACACGGTGAAAAAAAATTGGTGGACGGTGGGTGCTGGCAAAAACGCGCCTCTAAGGCGGCGTCGCGCGTAGCAGCGTCGACGAAACTCTTGTTCCAGGAATCGCAGGGCCCTCCTTTTCTTCTTTGCTGCTCTTTTTCTCTGCAGTACTTCCACCGGCTCGCTCGGTGCGCAGAAAGAGGGCCGAAGGGAGAGCGTGTGGAGAACCCACATAAATTTCGTTTCCGCGGCGTTCCTTTCGCGGCCGGAAGAGCAGTCCTCCCTTAAGGCACCGCAGATCTGTGCGCCTCTGATCCTGGAATTTAGAACGATTTTATTGAGAGAAAAGAAATGGATCGTTATTATCACGGTACCGAACAGTTCTGTCTAAATTTAGGGACAGGGAATAATAAATCGGGTACAGTTCACAGAGACAGTCAAGAATGTTCGAACAGCGTGTCCTGTGATACCCTATTTTAAGTGGCCCTATATCACGGAACACGGAAGAAACGCGCCAATTGGCCCGACAATTTGTTTCGAGGATAATTGAAAGGTGGGGCGCGTAGGTGGGTTCCCTACAGCTTCAAGCTTTCGTCGGAGATAGGTCGAAAGTAACTCGTTCCGCTTGTCGCCCGGTTAAAGATAGCCGATCTTATTATGCTCGTAACGAGTTGTTATGTTCGGTTTACTCGCGTGTACGGAATCTCGGCGGGTTTGGAATGTAGTTAGGGGCAATTGCTAGGGCATCGCTTCGCTAATTAAGGGTTGCTACATGCCGGTCGGGCACGCGGCATTCCGCCACCGTGTACATCTGCATCTCGTTAAAGCGAACTCCTGACACCAGGTGTATATTACCGTTATCGTATTTCGGCAGCTCACCGAATCGATATTGCTCGGCCCCCTTCGCATTTTGACCGCCGAAACGATCTTTATAATCGAGATCGTGTTGCCCCTTTTGCGCGGTGGAGAAAGAAATTGGATTCGAATTGAGACTCGAACGGATTGAGCTCCACCCTCAGTCATGATAATAAAACTGTTCAAAGACTGCCGAGTCGGCTCTACATGCTCCTACGTGTAACAAAATCTTTGACAACGTCTTTGGAAGCCTTTCCTTAATTTAACGATTGTGTTTTCTCTATTTTGGAACAGAGAGCAATGCGTCCGACTTGGGCGGCGATCAGCACCAGCAGCAGCAACAGCAACAGCAACAATCGCAGCATCAGCAACAACAGCAGCAACAGCAGCAACAGTACGGCGAGGTGAACCAGTTGGGGGGTGTGTTCGTGAACGGTCGACCCTTGCCGAACGCGGTTAGGTTGCGAATAGTGGAGCTTGCACAGCTGGGCATTAGGCCGTGCGACATCTCGCGGCAGCTGCGGGTCAGTCATGGTTGTGTCAGCAAGATCTTGGCCCGGTACCACGAGACTGGCAGCATACTGCCTGGCGCGATCGGCGGCAGCAAGCCCCGGGTGACCACCCCGAAGGTAGTCCAGTACATCAAGCAGTTGAAGCTCAAGGACCCGGGAATCTTCGCTTGGGAGATCAGGGACCGGCTGCTCTCCGACGGCGTCTGCGACAAGTACAACGTGCCCTCGGTGAGCAGCATTTCCAGGATATTGAGGAACAAGGTCGGCGCGGCGACTGCGATCCATCATCATCCCCATCATCCAGCGCATCATCACCATCATCATCATTTGTACGCGGCCGCGGCTGCCGCGGGGGCTGCGCTTTGCCCCGTCCCTTACCCGCCGACGCCTTATCACGCGACGCCGCCGCCGGTTACGCATCATCATCACCATCACCACCACCAAGGTTGGTAGCTCGATATTGCTCCCTTTCCTCGCGTCGCAAGGTGGCGAACATCCTCTCCGGTCAGGGCCAGAAGTTCCTGAGATAACAATTCGTGCGCGTGGCGTTTAATGTTAGCCAATCAATAGACAGACGTTCGAATTTGGTAACTCACTTTCGAATTGGAAGCGTTGATTTTCGCCACTGCGCGCCAGTTTCGAGCAACAAGTTTGCACGGATCGGCAAACTTGTTGCTCGAAACGCCAAGCTACCGTCGCGTAACCGCAGCCGGGAATTATGCGAAAAGACTGGGAATAGCATCCAGTTAGTATTGCGCGAATATTATCCATTGCTGGAAGAGGACTTGGGTGCCGTCTCCGCTGGTTCGCGATGCGGTACTAAAAGCTCAGTTCGACGACGGCGCGAGTTGACGTGTGCGTGGGTTCAGTTTTAGCAGCGAGCTCGCGGGATATCAGGCAACAGTCGCGTCTCTTTCTTCCATCCTGATACGGGCACTGATTTACGAATGTCGAAACAACAACACACGTTCCTACCAATTCGGTACCGGTGCGTTTCCAGTTGGACCAACGACGCCGAGCAAGCTGTCCCCCTCGTCGCCCTTGTCGCCGACCTCTATCCACGCTGGTCATCAGTCGACTACCACGGGCACCCTTCAGTGGCCTAGTCCTCACACGGTCCACGACATTCTCGCAACCGGCTGCAATCCTACCAACTCGCCGTCCTCTTCGTCGCCGACGTCGCCGCTCTGCGTCTCGATCAACAACAACCATCATCACCATCACGGCCATCACCATCATCAGAGTAACGAGAACGTTGTCAGTAACAACAACAACAACGAGGAGGAAAGTTACCATCATCCGCATCATCATCACCATCATCATCAGCAGTATTACGCATCCGCTCTCTACCATCATCATCATCACCATCATCTCGCGGACACCATGGCGCCCGTGGTGACCACCTCGTCGGTCCTCGCCGTCCAGTCCATCATAATGCAGTCTTCCACGGCGAGTAGTCAGCCTGCTAGTCCCTGTAATTGAGACGATTCGATTAGAAGAGAGAACAATTTGAAAAGTGTAATCCAAAGTTTTCGTTGTATATCGCGACGGAAAGACTTGCAGCACCGTGAGTGGCGCGAGTGCAACGCCGGACCATCGACTATGAAAACGAAGAGCAATGAACAGAATCGTTTCGAGTGACTGTGAGACCGACAATCGAAGAACGTTCTAGTTATCGGTGTCTCGAACGATAAACTGTATCATCACCAGTATTATATGTTTTTTGATCGTCGTTTGCCATTGATTAAACGCTAAGAGTGCCTTTTGCGAGTGCCATAAAGAAACTACTTTACGCTATGTATATTGTAATTGATCCGTATGCGAGGAAACAGTGGTGCAAACGTTGTCCGTTCAAACCTTTCAAAAAGGTTTACACGCTGTTCGCGGTTTCGCCCTTTCCGTGTATCTATAATGTTTCCTCGATATTTGCATGGATTTTGCGAGAGATAATTGTTATGGGTGCGTTGCGTGTTCTCCAGAGAAAGAGAAACTGTGATTGACGCGAACGACCGTAAAAAGAACTATGTATATCGATGTTATCCGAGCGATGGACGAGTGCCGATCGCTTCACGATTACGTAATTGTAATCCTCTGTCATGCTTTTTTTATGAAATGTAACATTTGGCGTTGGGAAATATATATTTTCCATCAAGTTAACTGGCAAAGCGTACCATTCACTCCTTCGGCTTGGCAGCGACCGACTAATCCACCATCTGTCTGGAACGGACGTCAGGTGAGTCAATCAAGTTTGTATCGAGCGTGGCTGCAATTAATAGCATAAATTTAATAAAGGATTAGCATCAAATTACTTCGAAATGACCGAAGAATTAAATGCTAACGATGCGTCTCGGAACGTCTCTAGCTCGCGCTCTGCCGCCACTATAATTAAACCGGAATTTTTCCGAGCCCGACATTAATCTGTTTCCTAGCTCACGGCTCAGTTGGCACGCTGAAGAGCTCGAGAATACAGAGCGGTGCTTTAGATTCGTCGTCCTCGCGATTCCGGTATTTACATCTTGGCACGCCACGCTATAACTTCGAGTACAGTTCTTTAGGGCTGCCGATAGGCCAAATGGTTCTATAAAAATGCTATTACCCTTCCGTTAGCGAGAACTCGACGTTCGTTTGAAACGGTGGTGGGAAAGACCCTGGAGTATCGCGAATCAATGTCGTCCGCTGTATTTGAGGGAACCCGATGAAGACCGCGATAATCCACAATAGTTGCAGTCGAGATCAATCTCCCGCTACGATCTGCTTAATTGCCGAGACTTCCGCGACCCAAGAGGGATGTTTCATCGAGATTTAGTTGTCCGTGCCCTCGCGATTGAGTTCACGACTTCACGATCGATCGACGCGCACAGGCTGCATATTCATTTTGATCAGCGGTTTCGAAACGATCGATACAACAGATATGAAACGCGACTGAACGTTGCGAGTCCGCGAAGACGATATTGCAGGCGCCACTTTCTTTCCGGATGCACTGTTCTGTCAACGAACGCTTCGATATCGGTGCACCTTCTCTTTCCTAACGAACCAGCTGCGGTTTCCGGAAATACATCCGGGTGTCTTTCTACAGATTTAACTGTTCATATAGTAAGTGGTGTTTCTTGGTCTCAGACACGGTTCCCCTGGATGATTCGTTGACTCGTAAGATGCCCGCGTAACAACCGATACAGCGGGCTGCGTGATTGATGCTTCCATTTCGAGTAATCGAAGCCCCTTCTGCGTAATCGATGATAATGCGCGTGCAACGTTTAATGAGCTGCGATATCGTTCTTAATGCGCACGCGATTGCAACGAAATTAATCTTGCCCTCTCTTGTTTTTCCAGCGAAACGATGCTCTACGAAAAACAACGCAGTTCAGCGTATAAGTTCGTGATAAAGTACTCGTCGCCCGTACCGTTAGACGCTAGATAATGGATGAGGTTTTCCTCGTTCATCAAAGTATCCGCTAATCAAGCCACCGTTTCTACGGAAACTGTGGAGCGCAGTTCGATGTTCGATGCGAAAACTCGAAGAGAAGAGGAGTCTCCCTTTACGCGCGCGCAATCCAAGTTATAAAAGCAAACGGCCTGGGACTGTCCAATCAGCGTCGATCGAGCGTGAAATCCCTCCTCTTCGACGAAATTAGACACCCACTCGACGTTCCCATCTTCACGGGTCTCGATCACAATGACCAATGATAGTTTTTCTAATGGTACTCTCGGAACTCCCTCGGTATTTAATCCTTGGGCAATCGTATCGAGGCTTGTCTTGGCCAACTTTTACAGAGACACCACCTATTTCTTCAACTTCCGATTCTTATTATCCTTGAAGTAGGATAATTTATCATTTGTATAGCCATTCTTGAAATTTCCAGTTGCAGACTTTTCTGAAAATGTTTACATCAACTTTAGTGCCATCGAGGAGCTGTTCTTTCTGAAGTGACGGGACGACTTTAAAAAAAGAACGCTTTCGGCCTGTGACGTTCACGAGCTGTTTCCGCGTAAAAGTCTCTCGGCTGTCGGTCCAGCTTTCGACATGTAGGCGCGATCATGTTTTTCTCTTGACGTTTAGGAGCGCATAACATAATGAGGACCGTTGCGGCGTGACGGGCCGTCCCTTTGAAATACGAATATCCCCTTTCTACTCTGCGGTAAGATAGCCCGCCCCGCTACTCTATTACTCTAGTCAAAGGAGCGACAGAACCTGCCGCAGGAGCTACTTCTTTGGAAATCGTTCAGTGTCGGCTTTCTTCGGCCTCATTAACCTACCCCTCTTATTAACTGCAGGAACCAAAGGGAAAAGCTGCTGGGACATTCTTCTTCCTATAGTTTCATAGTGTTAGACTATACACCGATGGGACGATAGCATTGCAATGGTAGACCACTTTCAGTGAATTAAAGTTTCAGCAGCCTTTTGCAATTGTTTGCAAGGAGGTTCCTGAAAAAATAAAATAAAAGAAAAAATGGATATGAATTTAACATCGTCGAGATGATCTATAGCCCCTTAAAGCGCCAAATCGCGTTTCCAGGGGTAAGTAAGTTCAGCCGGGATATAAAGGTGTCTGGTCGGTCTGGTGTCTGGAGGCAACCCCCCTAAAATATGGCGACTTCGAGCGGGTAGCATACGGTGTTTCGGCACGCAGGCCTCGCGAACTCCGTCGCGCTCGATTACAAGCACCGCCACGACCAAGATGCGCTAATAAATTAACGGATAAATAAACCCCACGAAGAAAGGGAACAGTTCCTGCGCGTATTTGGCTCGCTTAGAATAGAATAGAATGTATTAGAAGTGTACGCGCGATTAATGGGCCGAGAGCTTGTACGGCTGGAAGCCTCAGCGTCAAACGTTGAAGCAGAGAATGCTCGATTTCCTGAGAACGGGGGCCAGCGATCATCTTGACGAACGCACTTTTGCTACAGTCGAAAACCTCTGAAAGAGGTCCACTGTAGCCGGAGACTTTCTTCCGAGGATCCAAATCCGTTGCGACGGAAGTAGCTTCGTTATTCCGTTTGGAACTTGGCAACGAGACCGTGTTTCAGTGGACGAGAAATGATCGCTATTCAACTTGGAATTAATGACAAATAAAGTAGCATTCTGGAGAAAGGAAAAATACACCCTAAAACAGTACAAAAATTAGAATCAATAATTTCTCGTTTTGATCCTAGTTTAATTTTTGTCATAATAAATTCATTAATCTCTATAACCCACCGGTAGTCAATTTATAATCTTAAAAGTGCAGTGGATTCGATCAGTTTGTTCTGTTACTAGCAGCATCCAAACAATAGAATTTGGAAGAAGAAGAGCTGATACGGAGGAAGAGGTGAACGTGAAAGCGGGGTGGTGCATGATAATTAAGAAAGTGTCCCGTTCCTTTCGTCTGGAGGCGAGTCGGTCCGCGTTTTCCATTCGGTGTACAAATAGCTCGGATACCCCCGACCCCTGTCGGCTTCTCTCATGTCTCCCCGACGCTGTGCGTCGCGACGCGTCGCGTCGCACGCTTCACGCTTCCGCGCTACTCGATGCCGAGCGTTGTCGGCCTCACTTTTAATCTCTTTCTATTCCCATTTCGAAGCTTCTACCAATAAGAATCGCTTGCCTAACGATTGATTTATTTTAGGATCTTCCAGAAACCGATCCGATTCGATTCAAAGGCTTATTTACGCATAGTTTCGTATCCTCTTTTGCTCCTAGTTTCATTCTTCAAAGTCTTATTCCTTTGGCGCTCTCTTCGGGTAAGCAGCCAGATCGCGAATCGCAAGTAATATCCGTTTTAGTCAAATTATTTATGGGCACGATATTTTTTAAATTCAATTGACCGGAGAATAATAAAATTTATAACGATTGAAACGAGATGAGGCGTTTTGGGGAAATCAGAGAGAAAAATTGTTTGCAATTGTGTTTAGAAGTGCACGTTTTACGTGTTACAGATGCAGCTAACGATTCCGAATCGTATTTAGGCGCAGCTTCTGTAAAAAGATGACTATTTACCATTCCAAGTGTCTATTTCGTCGGAGTTACGAGAAAGAGAAGGATGGAGGATAGAGACGACGGCGCAGAGACGCATTAGCCATATTCCGAGGTTGCATGGCGGAACGCCCCTTTCATGCCATCCCCTCCTACCCTCAAATATTACCGAGAACATAGAAACTCTCGGCGAATCTACCGAGAAAGCTTCGAAACCGCGTTCCACGTGTAAATTGCTTAATAAATTGCCGCGTTTAATCATGCTGTTTCCTGCCCTTTCTTTTTCTACTGCTAGATCAACCGGCAACGTCGTCCATATTCTTGCAAGATGAAAAAAAGTCGTTTAAATATAACCCTTTATTTGCGAGACAAAGGAATTTACTTACTCGAATTGCCAAGTTTATAATTAATCGTGGACTGTTCACTCTTTGTCAATCGTTAACGAAACAATTAACGACATACGATTAATAAATCGCGCCCTCTAGTGCACTGATTTCCGCAACACCGTTCGATTTATTGATTGAAAATTGTTCGACAAGATCGATTCAAAGTTAATTACACCCGTGAATGAAAACAAATTGGTTGCGAATTAATTCCTTGGTCAGCAGTCGTTGTGTGGAGAAATACGCAATGATTTGCCAGTCGTTGATGAAACAATAAACAATTAATGAAATAAATGCTATGTATTCACTAGTATCGTTCGTCCATCAGAGATTTCAATGAAACGAAATGAGCCCTCTATTGGATCGATTTTCAAACTTATCGGATTATCGATCGAGATAATTTGACGATGTCGATTAAAATTTTATAATATCCACGAAAATCAAATTGTTTGTTCCATCATTAACGAAGAGGTTCGGTGAATGGGCGTAATATGTATACGGTGATGTGTAAGGAATTTGATGATGAGCATCAAGTAATTTAAGTAATTTTACACCGTGTTCATTCCACGATCTTCGAAACTCTGAAGAATGCGAGGGAAACGCCTGAAAGATGGCTACACCCTTAAATAGATTTATGTCCACTTTCAAGTTTCAGGAAATTGCAACACTATGTAGTTGTTGGCGTTCAACTTATTGATAAACTTTATTAATACTATGTAAACTCAGTAAAAATGCTTTTGAAATAAAATTAAACAAATATGAAATAATCATGCACACAAAACAGTACTCTTTTGAACTTATATTTCCGTACGCTCTTTAGTTCTGCTTAATCTTCGTAATATTGTCGACAACGCAAAAAATAAAGATAAATAGTCTTACTAAAACAGAATGTATCTCGAATATTGCTCTTAATATTGCTATTTGAGAAGGAAAATATTACCCGCAGAATGCAATCGAGTTCCACGTTTGTATATCGTCTACAATATACAAACTTGTATTGAAACTCGAACTACGTAATATTAGTGGGAAATGTTTGAATTCATACATTTTATTCCACCATACACGTATAAAGCATTAAATTTTTATTTAACGCTTCTCTTCGTCGCATACGTATTAAAAGACAGACACTGTGTTACAAAGGAAATATATGAGCGTGTTATTATACATCATTTTTTCAATCTAAAAATTTTTTGACTTACTTTACCGTATTTTATCGACATACTTATTCTTCCAGCGAAGTACTCCGTTCTACTTGAAATGTGATTATTACTTAAGTGATACGCTACGAATAGTCATAATAGAAATATGTAACATTTAAAAAATATGGGATTCTGATTAACTGCATCTACTCTCTTATATCTACGGGATAATTTGAACGGATCTCGTCGATGCAAGATGAAGAAATGAGTATGCAATCCGATGAGGGGAATGAATTTATACCTATATGAGAACAAGTATAAAGTGACATTTCTTTCGAAAAATTGTAAAATTTATCCACACGCGTCAAATGTGAAGTAAGAAAGACTCCATCGTTTTCTTCGTTGGACCATCCAATGTACGTAATATGTACAAGCATCGTAAGTACATTTAATACTAGCCATTATTCTCGTCCTTTGCTTCATCTACTTGTACTTCCTCCTTCTTTTCAACTTCGTTCAAGTTATTATCGTAATTTTCGTCCTTCTCAGATTTTACTGAAACATCCACTGCTTCGTTATTCTCAGATTCCGAAGTCTTTTCCGGATTTGGATCACGATTCTCCTCTCCTTCTTCAGCGGATTGTTGAATTTCAACCGTCGCGTTCAGTGATGCAGATCCATCAAAGTTCTGTTGGTGTTTTCCCAGGCCTACTTGTACTTCTATTAATTCCAATTCCTCAACCAATGCTTTCTCTCTTCTCTCGATTTCCTCTGTAACATGGAATACATAGTTAACAAGGAAAGTCAATTTAATAATTCTGTGGAGACACAAATAGAATTCAAGTCACGTGTACCATGAAGTTCTTTCGCAGATTGAGCCAGAAGAATGTCTGTTTGGGGATGCTTGCGTTTCGGTGCATAATAGATAGGGGGTTGAGCACGAGTTTTGATAAACGATGCTAACGGCAACTGTGCAGCACGCCAATCTTGGAATTGCCGACTACGGGCCAATTTTGCTTCAAGTGCACGTACTTCTGCTAATTGCCGTTTACGTGACAAGAACAATTGTTGTCTCTCTCTTCGTAATTCTTCTTTTTCCCTTCTTCGAGCCTCTTCTACCCTTGCCTCCACTTCTGCCTTTTTATCTTCCTACAAAAAGATACAGCACTTAAAACGATATTACATGTAATATATTTTTAATAATATGTATATATAGTGAAAAGTATACTTTTGCTTTAAGTTTGGTTTCCTCTTGCCGAAATTTCTGTAGGGTGCCTAAAAGGGCACCAAACATCCTTTTATTTCTTTGCCTACTTCTTTCATCTATTCTTTCTCTTCTGATTACTTCCTGTCTAGATGGAATTTCTCTAGGGGTTGCTATTACTCTTGAAGACACAGCCGGCTGAAATAAAAATTAATTAATTTATAAATGCATAATATACTGAGCACTGAATTGACTGTAACATTACCTTAATAACAGTATCATCTTCGTCTGCACTATCATCAGCATTGGAAGGAACTCGAGCACTTAAACGACTGAAAACTGTCTTTGGTTCTCCATTGGATCCTTGCCATCGACGTTTTCCACCAGGTAATTCGTTATTAACAAAATCTGATACAACACGCCGTCTGTCCTCCTGCAATGGTCTCTTTTGTGATAGCCTACTGTAAATGTATTGTAAACAAATCATTATAGAGCAAAACAATGTAACTGCATAGGCTAACGAATAACATATTTTAACTATAAAATTTATAAAATATAAATCAAAATATTATTATGGTACATCGTAGTGGCACAACAAAATGTTAAACTTAAATGCAACAAAAATCACGCAAAGTTTAATAGAATGCCTTAAGAAATCTCAAGTCTCGAGTGCAACAGATAGGTTATGTTTGGGGGTAACAGTGTTTTATTGGATGATCAATGAATTATAGAATAAAACTTCTTCTTTGGAGTGAATACGATTTCGGGGTCATTTTAGGAGATGTTTCGCTGAAAATTGTCTTGAAATTAACCTGGGAGGCAATTGTATAGGACCATTTTCTCCGTCGGGAAGATCCCGGCCGAGGATCTTCCGGATATTGCGATCGAGTCCTCGAAGACCATCCCTGGCCGCTTCTAACTGCGCTTCTAATTTATCGGCGCCCCAGGCCTCTTGTGCATCTAATTTTCTCATCTATTTAAGTTCGCCACGTTCACTGAGACCACAAAACCAATTTATTTAACAAGCCACAATGATTGTTGTCGAACGGCATCACTGTCGCTGGAGCCACCTACAATGTCCCTTTTCCCTAATCGATAAGTCTTGGGACTTTTCTTATATCCGTAGATCGAAAATCTAGAAACATTCCGTAAGAGCTAAACCAATTTAGTAAATTATTGGATATGTTATTTTATTATAAATAAAAAGTTATAAATAATAAGATAAACAACATGACCTATGCTCGATGCTTTCTAATTTATTATTATTTCCAATTCTTCATTCTCGACATTCTTCATAACGAATACGTTATTTAAATTTTCGAAGTATTTTTTAATTTCTTGGCTTTTACGCGCAGCTTATTGTGTATATATGTACTATTTTCACAAAATAATGTAACATTATTTTCTTTCTATTTTTACCATTTACTAATTAAAATACAATGTTGAATTTGTTTAATGTAAACATCCTATATGTTCTCGGCAAAGATCTATTGGCGGGCAAATTACAACCTGTACGCGTTGTGTTCGAATACTACAGTGCCTTCACGAATAACATCGTTATTTCTTTAGTGTTTATATTATAATAATGTTTTTAAAGAAACTGTATAAACCATAATATTATTTCTATTTTATGTAATTGATAATTGTGCAGCATGACGAGTTTGCAGAATACCGGGAGATACCGGGCAAGTCGTTTCAATGTAAAGAATGATCAAAATCAAGAAGGAAATCCATCAGGGTATTATTTTTTATTATTTCTTGTAAAATACTACAGGTTTTCTAAATTTGTATCATATTTTTTATAGTGATGCTTCGGGGGGTAGACTGAATGAAGCCAATGAAAATATCAGAGTAGATGGATTATATGGATTTCAGAGGGTAACAGACATTAAAGAGAGAATAGGATTTCTTATTAACATGCATGCAGTAAGTTGCAGTACGAATAATCAGCAATATTTTATTCTAATCATTTTGCAGTATAACTTTCTATCTTGTTTTCATTTTGCTTATAGACAGAAATTATAGAAGACGATAAAAGATTGTTCAGTGGAGTAGATTATTACTTCCTTGAAGAAGACTGCACTAGATTTAAGGTTTCTTATCCTTATTGTCCATATTTTTATATTTTATGCAGAAAGGATACATATGAAGAAGTATCCACCGGCTTAAATAAAAAATATGGTGGGCTTATACATAAATTGGAAACACTTTACAAAGAAGATCTTGACTTAGTAAGACACATTTAAATGGATAAAATAAGTTAAAAATACAATACTATATAGCTATATTTTTCTTTTATAGCCAAATCATTTAATTGGATTACAACAAAAATATCTTAAACTGTCTTTCTTAAGTACAGTAGACTTGATTAAAGTAAGACGTGATATAATGAAAGCTGTAAAAATTAATAAGGAGAGGGAAAAAGGTCATACTTATTACACAGATATGTTGTCAAGTGTGTTAAATAAAGATTTGGAGACTGGAAATCCCAAAAAACAAACCATAGATTTTACAGATAATATTCTTGATATTAGGTATATAGACATAATACTACATCTTGAGTATAATTACTGTCTCTTATACACATCTAGATGTGTATAAGAGACAGTAATTATACTCAAGATGTAGTATTATGTCTATATACCCTGTCTCTTATACACATCTAGATGTGTATAAGAGACAGTAATTATACTCAAGATGTAGTATTATGTCTATATACCCTGTCTCTTATACACATCTAGATGTGTATAAGAGACAGTAATTATACTCAAGATGTAGTATTATGTCTATATACCCTGTCTCTTATACACATCTAGATGTGTATAAGAGACAGTAATTATACTCAAGATGTAGTATTATGTCTATATACCCTGTCTCTTATACACATCTAGATGTGTATAAGAGACAGTAATTATACTCAAGATGTAGTATTATGTCTATATACCCTGTCTCTTATACACATCTAGATGTGTATAAGAGACAGTAATTATACTCAAGATGTAGTATTATGTCTATATACCCTGTCTCTTATACACATCTAGATGTGTATAAGAGACAGTAATTATACTCAAGATGTAGTATTATGTCTATATACCCTGTCTCTTATACACATCTAGATGTGTATAAGAGACAGTAATTATACTCAAGATGTAGTATTATGTCTATATACCCTGTCTCTTATACACATCTAGATGTGTATAAGAGACAGTAATTATACTCAAGATGTAGTATTATGTCTATATACCCTGTCTCTTATACACATCTAGATGTGTATAAGAGACAGTAATTATACTCAAGATGTAGTATTATGTCTATATACCCTGTCTCTTATACACATCTAGATGTGTATAAGAGACAGTAATTATACTCAAGATGTAGTATTATGTCTATATACCCTGTCTCTTATACACATCTAGATGTGTATAAGAGACAGTAATTATACTCAAGATGTAGTATTATGTCTATATACCCTGTCTCTTATACACATCTAGATGTGTATAAGAGACAGTAATTATACTCAAGATGTAGTATTATGTCTATATACCCTGTCTCTTATACACATCTAGATGTGTATAAGAGACAGTAATTATACTCAAGATGTAGTATTATGTCTATATACCCTGTCTCTTATACACATCTAGATGTGTATAAGAGACAGTAATTATACTCAAGATGTAGTATTATGTCTATATACCCTGTCTCTTATACACATCTAGATGTGTATAAGAGACAGTAATTATACTCAAGATGTAGTATTATGTCTATATACCCTGTCTCTTATACACATCTAGATGTGTATAAGAGACAGTAATTATACTCAAGATGTAGTATTATGTCTATATACCCTGTCTCTTATACACATCTAGATGTGTATAAGAGACAGTAATTATACTCAAGATGTAGTATTATGTCTATATACCCTGTCTCTTATACACATCTAGATGTGTATAAGAGACAGTAATTATACTCAAGATGTAGTATTATGTCTATATACCCTGTCTCTTATACACATCTAGATGTGTATAAGAGACAGTAATTATACTCAAGATGTAGTATTATGTCTATATACCCTGTCTCTTATACACATCTAGATGTGTATAAGAGACAGTAATTATACTCAAGATGTAGTATTATGTCTATATACCCTGTCTCTTATACACATCTAGATGTGTATAAGAGACAGTAATTATACTCAAGATGTAGTATTATGTCTATATACCCTGTCTCTTATACACATCTAGATGTGTATAAGAGACAGTAATTATACTCAAGATGTAGTATTATGTCTATATACCCTGTCTCTTATACACATCTAGATGTGTATAAGAGACAGGGTATATAGACATAATACTACATCTTGAGTATAATTATATACATATATCTATTCACTTTTTTTGTACAGAGAATACGATGTACCTCATCATGTAAGGGTGTCCATAGACATGAAAATCTTTTGCGGTAATTGGTATTCTGTAAAAACAAGAGGAAATGAGGTACCAATTATAACTAGGAGAGAAGATATCATTGAACCAATAGAGCCAATTGTGCTAGCATATGATATTGAAACTACAAAGCTACCTTTGAAATTTCCAGATGCTAACACTGATCAGATAATGATGATATCCTATATGATTGATGGACAGGTACTTTCTTTTTATTAACTATTCCTTACAGTGTTCTGTTCAATATCAAACCATTCTTCTATGTATTCGCTTTTAGGGATACTTAATAACAAACAGAGAAATTATATCAAAAGATATTGATAGCTTTGAGTATACACCAAAACCAGAATTTGAAGGATACTTCACAGTTTTCAATGAACCCAATGAAAAAGCTACAATTAAAAAATTTTTTGAACATATAAACGAAATTCGGCCACATATATTCGTCACATACAATGGAGACTTTTTTGATTGGCCATTTGTAGAAACTAGAGCAGCTATCCATAATATGGAAATGAAAGACGCCATTGGGTTCTCAAAAAATCGTGATGGAGTTTATTATAGTAGGCCAGCTATGCATATGGATTGCTTATGGTATTACATAATTGATATTTTTATCGACAATGTTACATAGAATATTATCCTTGATTTTTTATTTCACGGAATGTACAGCTGGGTAAGACGGGACTCATACTTACCTGTAGGCTCTCAAAATTTGAAAGCTGTTGCAAAAGCAAAACTTAGATATGATCCTGTGGAACTAGATCCTGAAGAAATGTGCAGATTGGCATCTGAGGAGCCAGAAACCCTTGCAAATTATTCAGTTTCCGATGCGGTTGCAACATATTATTTGTACCAAAAATATGTTCATCCTTTTATATTTGCCTTGTGCACTATAATCCCTATGGAACCAGATGAGGCAAGTTCATGATCATATCCTTCGATGAACATGTAACAAATTACATTCATAAACCATGATTATTTGTCTACAGGTACTTAGGAAGGGATCTGGGACATTGTGCGAATCCCTTTTAATGGTGCAAGCCTACCAAGCTAACATTATATTTCCTAACAAGCAAGAGACAGAACTAACCAAATTTACAAGAGACGGTCATCTGCTGGATTCAGAAACCTACGTTGGAGGACACGTAGAAGCCCTCGAATCTGGCGTATTCAGGGCCGATATTCCTTGTCGTTTCAAAATAGTACCGAGTGCAGTAGAGAAGCTAATAAATGGTGTTGAAAATGCCCTAAAGCATGCTCTGCAGGAAGAGGAAAAAGTTCCAATGGATATGGTTACAAATTTTGATGAAGTAGTTGAGGAGATCAAGGGAAAGCTAGAATCTCTAAGAAGTCAGCCACTAAGATTGGAAAATCCTGTGATCTACCACTTAGATGTCGGTGCCATGTATCCTAATATTATTTTAACCAATCGTCTTCAACCGTCCGCAATCGTGGATGAGACAATTTGCGCCGCGTGTGATTATAACAAACCAGGAGCTCTTTGTCAAAGAAATATGCAATGGATGTGGAGAGGAGAATATTGTAAGTAAAAACAGAATACTAAGAGAATAAAGTATAGCAATATAGTTTTATACACGACTGCTTCTTTTTAATACCAGTGGCTGCAAGTTTAAGCGAATATCAGAGAATGCAGCAGCAATTGGAAACTGAGAAATTTCCACCACAATTTCCTGGCGGTAATCGACGAGCTTATCATGAACTATCTAAACTGGAACAGGCAGCATTCGAGAAGAAACGACTCTCAGAATATTGTAAAAAAGCCTATAAAAAAGTTAAAGTGACGCGAATGGAAGAGAGGACGCAAACAATTTGCCAAAAAGAGAACTCTTTTTACGTTGATACTGTCAGAGCGTTCAGAGATAGGAGATACGAGTACAAAGCGCTTACGAAAGTTGCTAAGCAACAAGTAGCCGCAGCGGTAGCAAAAGGGGATGCAAGTGATATTAAGTCTGCAAAAAATCGAGAAGTACTCTACGATTCATTACAACTCGCTCACAAGTGTATTTTAAATTCCTTCTACGGATACGTTATGAGAAAAGGGTAGATATTCATTTGATGTTTCTTTTTTTGCGATTTGGAATATTAATGCTACCTTTATTGTAGATCCCGATGGTTCAGCATGGAAATGGGAGGAATAGTATGTTACACAGGGGCACACATTATCATGAAAGCCAGAGAAATCATAGAGCAAGTTGGACGACCCTTAGAATTGGATACTGACGGAATTTGGTGTGTGTTACCCGCGTCTTTTCCTGATAACGTGATAGTACATACCACTCATCCAAAAAAGTCGAGACTCACGCTATCTTATCCTAACGCTGTCTTAAATTTTATGGTGAAAGTAAGTCCGGCTCACAAGTATTCTTTCATCAATTTACTGCCAGACATTTTGGACCATGTATTATAATTTTAGGATCAATTCACTAACGACGCCTATCACGAGCTCGTGAATCCTGATACTTTCACTTACAAAGTCAGAAACGAGAATTCTATTTTCTTTGAGGTAGATGGACCATATTTGGCTATGGTATTACCCGCGGCAAAGGAAGAGGGGAAGAAATTAAAAAAACGATACGCCGTATTCAATTTTGATGGTTCTTTAGCTGAATTGAAAGGGTTCGAAGTAAAACGAAGAGGTGAACTTCAATTAATTAAAATCTTTCAGACCTCTGTCTTTGAATCCTTCCTGAAAGGAAACACATTGGAGGAATGTTACGCATCCGTGGCTAAAGACGCAGATTATTGGCTTGACGTTCTTTACAGCAAATGCGCTGACATGCCAGACGCGGAATTGTTTGAGTTGATATCCGAAAATAAATCGATGTCGCGTAAATTGGAGGATTACGGGGCACAAAAGTCTACGTCCATATCCACGGCCAAGAGATTGGCTGAGTTTCTAGGTGATCAAATGGTGAAGGATGCTGGGCTAGCATGTAAATATATCATTGCTAATAAGCCGCACGGTGCACCGGTCACTGAGCGAGCAATACCATTGGCAATCTTTCAATCAGAACCGGCAATCAGAAGACATTATCTGCGCAAATGGTTAAAGGATCCAGGTTTGCAAACCGATGATATTAGACAAATCTTGGACTGGGGTTACTACATAGAACGGCTTGGTAGTGCTATTCAGAAGATCATTACCATTCCGGCTGCGATACAAGGGATTTCCAATCCGGTACCTAGAGTGAAGCATCCAGACTGGTTGCACAAAAAGATAATGGAGAAGAGTGTGACACACAGACAGAAGAAGATTACAGATATATTCTCAGTAGTGTCAAAAAATGTGAGAGGAGAGAGCGACAATGACGAGGAGGTTGATGACGAGGACGGCCAAGAAGCAGGACCATCTGAACCACGGGATATTGAAGATCTGACAGATAGAGGACATCCATTCAAGCGACCTTTGCCGATAGTGCATAAAAGAAAAAGACCTTTGGAGAACGAGGAAGAACAGGATAAGAATAAAAGCTGGAAGGAAGTTTTAGGTTCGCCACCACCAATGGGAACAACGAAGGAGGAAAGACTCAAATGGTTAGATTTTCATAAACAGAAATGGGCTTACCAAGCGAAACAGAGAATTGAACATCAACAGAGTAAGAAGAGTAAGAGGTCTATGAACGACAAGGAACAAGTCAGCTGGGGTGTTGCAAGAAATACCGAGACGAATACTTTGGGCGGTTTCTTAAGAAAGGCTCAAAAGAAATTGCTCACCTCAGCCTGGCAAATTGTTCAAATATTCCCAACTAATGAGCCTGGTTTGTTCAGATTGTGGGTGCTGGTTGACCATGATCTCCACTCATTACGTCTCATAATACCTCGCATATTTTATGTTAATACGCGGACACCGAGACCAGATCCAGAACCTGGTCAAAACGTAACTTGGATGAAAAGTTCGAAAGTTTTACCTCGATCACGACCAATACATAACTTGTATCGTTACTCTGTCCCAGAAGCTCTGTACCAAGTGCATAGTCAAGAGTTGCTGGAAGATTTGAGTAAACCAGATATCGAGGGAATATATGAGACGCAAATGTCATTAGAATTCAGAGCAATACTTGAATTAGGATGCGTTTGCACGGTGGATCCCAAGGCAGCGAGAAAAATGGCCGATGGCGCGGATACATTCACCTTAGATCAACTGGAATACAAAAGTATTGCTGTGCAACCGTATCTTCCAGATGTTCATAAAATTAATTACATTTTTCTATACCATCACTGGAGCTCCAATCACCAGAGAGCATTCTGGGGACTCTTTCTAAATGCAAGTAAAAGAGTTCATATCTTTGTCTTGGACTCGGTATCATCGAATCAGATGCCTAATATGAATTCACTATATAGCCAAGAACGAAACACTGTTATATCCATGAACGGAGAAGACAAGATAAAAGCTTTACCAGAATCGATGCAATTCGTTTTAAGATTTGAAACAAGTTTCCAACAGGTCTGCCGTGTTCTACAAGCAGCCATAACAGCATATAAAAACGAGGGACACGATGCGACAGTATTTATTGTTCAAACTGCTCTAGACAAAACAACACTCACAACTCAGATGCCATTACTTAATGATTTTCCGTTAATCAACACCCACGTTCAAGATATTGAAGATTTGTACAACACAATCGAGTGGCAGAAAGTAGGTGCAAAAATAATGATTCGACATTATTTCAAGAGTCAACAAATTCTTGAATTAATGGCAGAACAATGCCGGTTCTTCCACGCACCTATTGGAAACATTCCTGCAGATCCTACACTCTTTGGTGCAGATTTGTTTTTTGCTAGGCACTTGCAGAAACATAACTTCGTATTATGGTGTTCTACTACAGAAAAACCAGATTTAGGAGGCAGCGAGAATGATGATAATAGATTATTGGTAGACTTTGAAGAGAGCTCCCACTGTGCTACAAACAACTCAGGAACTTATTCCAGTGTATGCATTGAACTGGAGATAGACAGTTTGGCTGTAAATACCTTGCTACAATATCATCACATTCATGATATTGATGGAACAAGTTCCTTTGTTGCATTTCATAATCAACAAATGGCATCTGTTCAAGTGAGTAAGCTATATATGTAAAAAAGACTGATCATCAAAAATGCAAAGTTAAGATTTATCCTATTATTTTATAGGATCTAGCAACGGGTGATCCTATGGCAAATGTAATTCCCAGTTATGATGAAACTGCTCTTTGCAGTCCTGCTTTCAGAGCACTGAGGGGTATGGTTAACGCATGGCTACTGGACGTTTCAGTTTACAAAAATGTATTTGCAGATTATCAGATTATTCACTTCTATAGGTAATTTCGTCTGCTTATACATACACAGGATAATCCACATATTACTGACTTTTGACAAAAATATCAGAGGACTGATTATTTTTTTAAATTTTTATTTGACTTTGAGTGATGTACCAAATGTAACAACCGATCTTTTTCAGATGGCTGCGTTCACCTAATGCATTGCTTTATGATCCAGCTTTGACACGAACACTGCACAATTACATGAAAAAACTATTTATACAATTATTGGCAGAGTTTAAAACATTGGGTTCCATTATTATTTTCGCCAATTTTAATAAAATCATTGTATGCACCAAGAAAAGGACAGTCAACGATGCATTGGGTTACATGGAATTTGTCGTTCAAACGATACGTAACAAGGAAATATTTCATAGTATCGAAATCACATATGAGCAGTGCTGGGAGTATTTGATATGGCTTGATGTTGTAAGAACAACTAATTTCGGTCTTAAACTGACAAGTAATTTCCAGTTAATGATTATCAATATAATTTTTAATTAATAGCACAACCATGCTGGTGTAAAAGGAAAATTGCCAAAGGATATGGAAAATAATGCTGAAGCAGATACTCTCGACGACGAGAATAAGGACGAGGATGACGATGATTCGGTAAGTGTCGGATTTTAGATGTTTATCAATGTTGTAAACTATTGTTGTTAAATGTTTCTTGATATTTAGCCGGAAATTATAATGAAATGGAATTTGATGGAGTGCCTGCCAAGAGAAGCTGCTTGCCAATCAAGTTTTAGTGTTATTATAGCGGGCTACATAAACGCAATTTATCAATTTATGGTTGAAAACGAACAATTAAATTGTAGCATAAAACCTAGAAGAAGACCAACTAGTTTAAGTCAAAGTTTATCAGCACAGTTAGGATTAGGAGCACTCGAGAATACTGCAGACTTTGCTAAGAAGCTTATATCAGGAGATATGTCTCAGAAACTTTTCCAGTAAGCCTCTGTTACTCCTTAATTAAATAAATAAGGATAGTATCTAATATCTTTTTGAAATATATTCTAGAATTGTACAAAAAATATACAAGAAGCTTCCAGAGAAAGAATTATCTATTCAAGAATATCCAAACTTGGATTTAGACGGCAAAGAGAGTAAAAAAATAAATCCAGCTTTAGAGTTAATTAAATCTATTTGCAAGGTATTTAAGCGTTTATACATATATTCGTAAACGTGTTTAATTTTATGCCAATCGTTTGGCGAAATTCATTTCAGGTTTTATCTTTGGACAAAGAAGTCGACACGGAAGTATATAATTTACAAACTAATATGTTACGATTGATCAAAATCGGCAGTTTCAGTGATGCGGTTGAATGGAAAGATCCATGTATTTCGTTAATTTTGCCGGAAATCATTTGTAAAGCATGTAATCATACAAGGGACATAGATCTTTGCAAAGACAATTATTGCGTTATGGAAAGCAACAGGTAAGCACATTGTAGAATTCTTAAATGTTCATTTTAATAGAAACTTTTTATTACAGATACCTGTGGAAATGTCCACTCTGCAAAATGAGCTATGATAACGAAGAAATAGAGTTCCTTCTAATAGATGTATTAAATCGCAAAAGTATGGGATATATGTTGCAAGATTTACAATGTTGCAAGTGTAAAGAAATTAAAAGAGAAAACATGAACGACCTCTGTTCCTGTTCTGGGAATTTTAAGACTCTGATCTCTAGAAATGATGTAGTAAAATTTGTGAAGATATGTAGATCTGTTGCCAGAAAGTGCAACATGGAAACATTAATGGAAATCGTCGAAAACACAAAGCTTCTAACGGGTTCCATATAATTTCAAGGTTTTATATTTTTGTATTATAAATGAGTTGCTGTAAATTATGTTTATTTATTTTGTTTTTAATTATTTCTAACATAAATATGTGCATTCAGGGAAGATGGTATTTAATTTACACCTGTATATACAATTTCACATGTATATTTTTACAATTGATTGCTTAATATTATATGTAACAATTTCAATACATCTGTTCTAATCATGTGTATTTCATTCAGTTCTATTTAAGGTTCTATTTTTGGTTCTGAAAATGAGTTAAAATTTGCCAATTTCAGATAGAGTAAGTTTTTAGTTGCTTAAAGATTGCTTACCTTTGAAAGATATTTTGGGAAATTCTGCCATGGCACGTCTGTCCATAGAACCAAACTGTTTAGCAAGCCTCTCAAGTTCAGTTTTGGCTTCCTTTTCGGTTTCGGGTGTGGGATCAACTAATTTTCCACCACTGCATACATTGATTTAACATGATAAGAATATTTTATCAATAGTTTATTGGTAGTACAGTTAATTTCGCAAGGAAGAATATCTACTTACGCGCTCTTTTGTTTATATTCACGAACTTTGTCAAGAAACAGTTGTTGGATTGGATCACTTGCTTGCTTCCATGCAGGTGCAACAATACCAATGTTGCGTTTGAAAATCTTTGGTACACCAGTGGTCAAGCGTTTGGTAAGCATTGTACCTTAAAAAGCAATGTATAAATGTGTAGAAAATCTCAAATCGAATGACAGGTGACAAATGTCACGAATAATGCTAGTACTAATTAATTTATAAACCAAAGAGTCATTCGTGTAACAAAGAAATTATGTATTCAAATAAATAATATGTAATAAAAAATTATCCAATTTTTATATCTTACGTAATAAATTACTGTGAGATCAATAAATAGGTTATGTACGTTTCAATAAAAATACTGTAAAAGATTTATAAAATTATACTATTAAAATCACTGTTAAAATCATTAATTATTAATTACTATTAAAATTATTTGAAGTAATACATTATTCTCACTTTTTATATAATGAACAGTTCAGTGCTACTCGCCGATGATGATCACCTTGGAATACGTAATAAGTTATAGAGTGGCTCTTCACCTCACTCATGTGTACGGTTGTAAAAAAAAGGTCATCTCTATGCTTCTGTCTGATTGGTCAAATTTTAAATTATAAATTACGTTATTAAATTCACGTTGTTTGGTAAACTTTATTCCGATATTAATTAAAAACAACATTGAGTCATATTGATTACAATACTAAAATTGATAAAAGAAATATACGGTTCCTTCCTATGAGTTTCAAGTATTTATAATAGCTTTTAAACAATTCTCGATCCATGTAATTGTGTGCACTTATTAAATATATGTTTCTAGTATATAGCACCTTTCAAATACAGTCGTTTTCAACGTTTCGATTTCTTTAAGAGCAGTATTTTCATCTTCCTCCATCCAGTGGTCCATAGACGGGGATATTCTGTGTTTCATTCAATGATACTAACGTGTTTCGCGATACTAGTACGAATGCTCCATCTATCTATTTGTGAACACTGACTGAAACGCCGCTCCAATGGTAGAATCGGCGCACGCCGTCCAATCACGATACACGATATGCAAAGCTGACCACCGATTGGTCGATGACGCGTTTTCGCGGAGGGTGGGGAGGTGGATCCCGCTCTTGGTTTCATTCATGAACGCTTGGACTGCAGCCATAATACATTTGTAATCTGTATTGTGTACGGGTACACCGCGTTAGTGGTGCCGATGTGCGTGTCCCTCACAGTTGTACACGTGATTCTTGTTTTGTGTTCGGTTCACTTTTTGTGTTTTTCCTGTGCATTATTCGGCCGCTTGACACTGTTGCATTCCTCATTGGATTTTACGTCGGAAAACAGGTAAGCGAGCAGTTAACCTGCGCGCTCTGCGTGTACACGTAGCGCGCGAACGCGAATCTTCGAAACTTTTGAACAAACCGAACGGTTTGATTAACAATTTGCCGGCGTGCGGACGTCGTAAAAATGAAACGAAAACTCGTTGCAGTTTGTTTCGACTGAGTAGAGTAGAGCGTATCGTCGAGAAAAGCGTACGCCTACGTACGGACAGGCCTATATTTGTTTTGACGGAGCGTTCACTAGCTACTTTGCATCCCACGGACAATCGGAAACGCTGACAAGCAAATACTATGATCTCGAATTCGTGCACGCAGAAGACATATCTGTCGCGCACTTCGTTTGACAGATTTTCGATAATACCTTTCTATCGGCTGTAACATCGAAGACATTGTATTTTTACTCTGTGTCACAGTTGCTCGCGTTAATTCGATTTTACGTGCATTCTCTTCTAAAGCTGAGCAAATAACGCACACTATTTTTTATACACTGCAACGTCATAGAGTATACAGTGTCCACAAACAATCGTGACGTCCTCTATAAGTATTCTGAAGTTTATCTTGCGTCATGACAACTGTGATTTATACCTCCAGTTGTGCGATGTTAAACACATATACCTCTTCGAGAAAATGCATTACACAACTTCTAGAGGGTGTGATTTCAGTCTATTCGAGGATTGGTGTTTATATGGATATTGTACTTTGAACAAGGCTTGTTCGCAACGAAGTGGAGGCTACGATTTGTATAAAAACATTTCGAAGATTAGTCGCCTCTTCGCAGGTATCGATCGCGTATCGATCGTAAATATATCGTGTCGTTTGCGATAATCATATCTCATCTTGCGTCACGTACAATTTCGACTTATCGTTCCGACGTAGACGTGTTCCGCAGAATTTTTTTAACCACCGCTTCCTTTCAAGTAAGTGACTGACTTTTCTTTGTGTTACGTAGAGAAATGAGGGGTTGAATCTTTTTTCAATAATAATCGAGAACAATGCGATACATTGTACGAGAATCCGTCGTGTGATTAATGAAGGAACGTGCTATGTAATCGTTAGATAATTAGTTTCCATGACGATCTTCCGCGTGCTCGTGTTGCGAATAGTAGTAACGGCAGTGGTAACCGGTTCCACGCGAACTATATCAAAATTTGCGCGTAGTTCTTCAGTTTGTCTGCTGAGAAAATTTCCGACGAAATTTCAATTTTCAATTCTTTGGTATTGAAAACTCGCAAGCTGTAACCCGCAAAAGAGCTTCGAGAAGGCGATTGTAGACCAAGAAAGGCAGGCATGGCCACTGTGGTCTAACGCAAGATCATAAACGACCGCTGATTCGAGGCAATAAAAATGAACAATCTCGATAAAAAAACGCGCGGTCAAAATGGCGGCGGGACGAGGCTGCGTTTTCAAATTTATTCGAATATATTTCACGCTCTCGGATAAACAGTTTCTGTCGGGTCTGGATTCGGTTTTTATACGACGCCTGCGTAACATATTTCGCCGGTAACGCTTGTAGGTAATATTTCCGTCGAGCGGCATTTGAAACGCGTACGAAGACGAAAGAGAAAAAGGGGAGGGGGGATGGGGGCGAGAGAGGGAGGCGCGGGTGCGCGATGCGTTGAAGCGAGAGGGACAAAGTGCGTCGGACAGTGTGTAAGTTAAGCGTGTACACGAGGGGGATGGGATGGCTAGCCTGGCAATTTAAAAAAGGAACGCGATGCCCTCGGTGTTGGTGGGTCGAATGGTTTTTGTACACTTTCTCGGATCTCGAGGAGCACGGCATGGCAACGTCGCGACCTACCATGCTTCCCTCGTTTGTCTTCTCGGCTGTTTCTTCTCTGCCATAGACGCGACAAATATCAAAGACCAGAAGACATACCGCTATGACAAAGATGCCCGTGAACCGTCTCGAATCGGGACGAAGCGTGCGAATGAGAGAAACAGAAACGAATAGGAGAAGGAACGCGCGAGAGAAAGACGGGAGAGAAAACCGTTGATCGCTTTGGAAGAAGAATTGAACGTTTTCTCGGAAACAGGTCGAAATAGTGGACTAGTCGTTTAGATCGATTGTTCGAACATGTTTGCAAAGCGTACAATGGTCCGGTAACCACCGGATATATTTATTTGTATGGAAACGATTCAAACACTCCGCGTTCAGTGGGTGTTTTCTGAAGAAGCGAACGAAATTACCGTTTAGAAAAAAGGAGGTAGTCGGTTTAAATGAGTTCGAGAGTCAAGGGCACATCGAGATTTTTCCCCGTATGGGTTCGTCGTGGGTGCCCGGGCCTCGCATACGGGTTCAGGCGTCCTATGACCTGCAGGAACGTCTGCCCGCATATGGAAACCCAACGGCAGAAACTTCAGAGATATTATATCGCTCCTCCCGGCAGAGTTGAAACAATAGACACTTGAACTCCTCGAAGGACAGACCCGCCTCTCTACACGGTATCCCAGAAAAACCAACCCGAGATCCATCCTTCCGTCGGAACAGGACACTTCTCCCGAGCCACGCTATATGTATAAATTCTCTGTCAGCTCGATTTTACATTCTCTGCCAATATATTTCGCCGAAACGATCTCGTCGGGGTTAATTATGGGTTAAAAAATACGGTAGCGTTGCAGACTCCGGATGCCGGGTCAGTTTCGACTGACCGTAAAAATTTATCATGCACGTAAGTTACAAACGGTTAGAAATAATAAGAATAATCGATGATGATGATGATAATAATAATAACAACAGAAGGTTGGTAGATGTATCCTATGTTTTTTTTCTTTCGCGTTCCGCATATCTCGCCGAGGTAATTATAGGATTGGTCAGTGGTTCTCAAACTTTTTTCTTCGAGATAAAAATGACGATATTTTTACAGAGAAGTTTGTGTAGAAGCTCAGGGGTGCTCCTCAAGATTATTCACATAGTGAACCGCCGGGTTCTCGTGAAAGGTTCCACACGATAGTAGCAATAATAATAGAACAGCGTTAGTTGCTATATCTGTTTTGAAAAATTGTATACCTACCTACTGTTATGCTCGTTGGTTCGTCTTCACGCGAGGCACAATAAAATCATCTATATTACTGGTTTTACTCTCTTACTGGTGGTTTTATTCTCGATGCACCGAGTGCATACACGAGACATCTGTGCTTTCTTGCGCGTCTCCTGCTCGGTACCGGCTGTCTCGGTCCTCGAATTTATGGTCGGAAAATGTTAAGCCTTTTCGAGACCACAAACTCGTCTCTAATGTTGTGCGTCTAGTTTGCTCTGCGTGTCCTCGGTATTCCGGCCGGGAAAGCTCGCCGAGTGAAACAAAACCAGGAGCGTTACCGACTTTACCCACCGTATCGAGCGATCTTTTCTTTCGCTTTCGTTGCTCCGGAACGCCAGGTAGACGCATCCGAGTGGAAATCGCATGCTTGTGTTGTTGTGTTGTGTTTGCGCGGAAGCCGGCCGGACACTTTAAACGCCGATCGTGTCCCGCCTTCCGACCGACTACAGATTCCAAGATAGAGCGGAAACACGCGTGAAAATCCTCCCTCTCCCCACTTTCCGAAAACAGCACCTTAACCGCTGACTTTATCCATCCCCTAACCGTTTAACCCTTTCGGGATTATTGGTAACTTTTTGGTGCTTTGTAACAGAAATTGTGCAATGTCTCGATAAAAAATACGATCTACTCGTTTTTCAAAAGAAACACGCACCGGTCGCGTTCTCCAGATCGCGAAACAATTTCGCATTTACAATTCGTACAGCAATTAGCGGAAAAAAGTGCAGATATCATGCGTTTACGGCGATAATGAAAACGGTAAGGACATCAGATAAATTCGAGGACGGCGGTGTTGCATTATTTTTAACACGCTAAAACGATTCCAAGCGGTAGGACACTCGAATAAGGATCTGCAATCCCTGCATAAGGATCTGCGATCTAATAATAAGTTTCCAAGAAGCTGCCGTCTCGGAAGGGTTGGCCAGTGAGAAGTCGATTATCGTTGCGTTCCACGCCGGTAACATTAAGTTTTCTTATCTCGGCACTCGCGATGCTTGTTGTGTGGAAAGCTTTTATAATATGTATATTAGTACGAATTACCTGGAACGAACATGTGTTTATTGCGGGATTTAACAAGCGTTCGGGTATTCGTTACAGACGTCGACGAGCGAAACGTTTTATCTTGCCGATTGCCCCGCGATATTCGTAATATGCGTCAGTCGACTTCGAAATCGCCGTTGCGGGTTCTTCCCGCGCGTGTCGCGCAATAAATTCGTTTATCGTTGCGGGGATTGCGACGATCGATAAAGCGTGACGTTGCGACCACGAAGATGAGTGTCGCGATATCGAAATCGGCCGACAGAACGCTTTCGTACTCCATAAACCGATGGCTTTTTTCGTTTAATCACGGGAAAGCTCGAATGCGATGGACACACGCCGGTGTTCCTTGCTCGCGGAATACGATCGCTGTTTCGCCAGAACATCGTGGAACGCTCTAGAAATCCCGGCAGATAAGCGAATCGGTCGCAACTTCTTTGTTGTAATGGATCGATACCAGTCTGCTCGACGATAAGAATTGTTATCGGCACGATCGCTTCGCATATTAGTAATGCTCCGGCCAAAAACAACGCCGAAGCCACGGGGGAGCGGAACCCGCGATCTCTGGCCGAGTTCAGCGAGTGTTTTCGATCGTGTTCGCGATCGGAAACCTCCGGTGCTTATCGATACAGGTTTCCTGGGAACTCGGAAGTTTATTCGCGCGTTTCCCGCGCCGTTTCCGAATCGGAGAATCCCGGCCCATTATTTCTCGATGGAGCGGCTGGTGCATCTGGTTCGAGAACCCATTGAGCCCCGCCGATAGAAAAGGGATGTGTATCAGTTTCTCATAGGAGAAACACCTTGCGCCGACCGACACCGGCAGGGTTAAAAACCAGAATTTCGAAACGCTTTGTACAGGCGAGCAGATTTTGCCCGCGCCTAAAGAGCCGTGAGAGTCGATGGCACCGGTGTGCTCGAGCACTTTTCCACCTACCATCTGTCGTTCGGGCTTCTCCAGCCGGAGTAACCTGATCTTGGTAGAAACCAGGGTTCGAAAACCTCCTACGTACGCTATGGTGCCTGCGGTTCGCATCCCCTTACACTCGAACCTTCGCGAAATCGCGCATGCGCGTTCTCGCGCTTGTTCGAATACAATATAATATTTGCCGCAGACAGACTGCGGACAGAATTTTCTTTCCCTCGTGTTTCGTCTATCTCCGTCGGATCTAATTTTGTTCCTATTCTGCAAGAATGTTGGCGCAAGATTATAGCCGGTAGAGACCATTTCGAGAAATCTAGGGGCGCGACGCCTCGCGCGTTTCGAAAAACAGGGGGTGGGTCGTTCGGCGTCATGTGCCGGAGGATTTACTGTACAGGTTGCAAATAAAAAGGGAACGCCCGGTGATTTAGCATCTCCAGACCTGCTCAGAACCCGCGGTTCGTTGAACGTCTGTTTTTAAAGCGACCCCAGTTAACCGTCCGCACGGAAAGTTATGCTTTTCACGTGCGGCCACCCGCCTAAATATGAAATTTACACGCCCGCGTTCCGAACGGATTGTCTGAACCGCGAACGCCGCGCAATAAACGCCTCTCAGAGATACATAAGGGAATTCATTTAGGAGCGGGGCGGGTACCAACACGGGGGAGACTAATTGGCAGGGGATTCAATCGCTGACGCGTCCACTGCCAAATCGAGATTTCGTTGGCCCTCGTTCACGGCTTCCGAGTTGCAAACTTTTCTCGTAGAAGAAGCAAACTTTAAACCGCGTGCTCCCTTTTTCCCATATCACGGCACACATTTTGGGCTGGCTTTACCGTTGTCTGTATCTCGCCATTACAAATCACATTCTAATAACACCGATCATCGATGATCTTAAGATTTATCACTGTATCTCTAATTAGCAAAGCATCGAACTGATTCAAAATCATTTTGAATGGTGCTTCAGGAATGGTGTTTGTTAAATAAATTGTCCCTCGATCATAGATAAGTGTCACATATTGTTAGATTTAGTACTAAGTTTAGTACTAAGAAAAACGATCTTTCCGTTCTTATTACCTTCTTTTTATACCAGTGGGTTCTTTTCCCGCGAATAAATGAATGAATTAGAATTATTGCAGACATACGATAAATATAAATTGTCTTTTTCGCGTAGAATTTAGGAATTTCTGAACGACCAAGGGTTAAGAAAGATGGATGGCAATCGTTCTCGAAAAATAGAGGTGAAATTGTACACCGTAATGCGGAAGAGGGAGCAATTTCTCTGTCGAGCAACTTTTGATTTCTCGACTGACCGACTTCGCTTCCTTTCCAGCCGAAATGGATATGGAATCCCTGTACGACTACGGGGACGAGGAACAGGACTTCTACGAGGAGAGTCCCGGCACCAGGAAGGGCTACCCGATCGATCACAGATCCATCAAGGTCAGTGAATAGACACCCTTTAATCGTTTTCGGTTGAGAGCAAGCGGAAGAAAGAGCCGCTCGAGAACGTCCGAGTTTAAATTTAAGCGAGATCCCACAGGTGAAACGTAATTTACACGGTGTCTAATTTTAAAGCGGGCCGACCAATTTCGAAATAGCAGTTTTCTCGGCGAAAAGCGCCCGGCACCGCGGCCATGTTCACCGGACTTCCTTCTGCCAGCTCTCGACGCGTCGTAATGTGTATATGCTTCGTATTTGTCATGCGATACGATTTTAGCGAACAATCGACGGGCGACTGAAACATATTCAATCGACTAGGGCGGTGGAGCCGGTTGCTGTTGGGTGATCAATTGCTGTGTGTTTGGTCTGTTTTCGAGAATAATCACCTTTATATTCATCGAGTAAGACATGTTGTATTTGTTTATTCTTTTATTTTGTTTACTTTCGAATAACAATTTGTGTGTACATTTATTTCGTTTACTTCTGAATAAAAAAATCGAATATGCCTTATTCGATAAATATGAAGTTAATTATGTCCGAAAACAAATCAGAGGCACAGCAATTGGTCGCACCAAAGCGCCAAGCTTCGCCAGTTCATTTGTTTGACCGATTAAACGGTTTCGTTGTAATTCTTGGATCACGAGGCGCGAAACAACAATGATCGACTAAAAGTGTCCGCTTGGCGTTGCCCGTTCGAAAGTACAGACCGACTGGTAAACAGTGAGAGGGACTATTTATAATTGGATATTCGGGGCTCGTTACTTTCTGATATTTGGACCGCTCTAGCTGCGGCGTCCGATTGTTGCGGGCGCATCGACGCCTCTCTTTAAAAAAAAAGTCTAAAACGCAGCCGAGGATCGTCGGCGCACTCTCGATTCGTTTCTATTTCGAATTGTCGGAAGACGATCGAATCAGGGTCACTCGGTATATCGTTTCGTTTTAGAAATCGTTAATTAACCCTGACCGGCGATCTGTTAGCGGGGGAAGCCGGTCCGGTCCGGTCCGTTCGAAATAGGCCAATCCTTCTCTATTTTCGCGGTGATAGTTGACGTTGGCAGCCGGCGTTGCTGTTGGCAGCGCTCGGATTGTACGAGTGCCAGTAACAATTCGTTCTACTCGGTGCTCTCCGACTTCGCCTCATGAATGAACGTAGAGCAAGCGGCTCATTCACCGTCCCCTCGAGTCCCCTCTGACCTCGCGTGGTCACCTAACTTGTCTAACGCTCCTCTCTCTCTCTCTCTCTCTCTCTCTCTCTCTCTCTCTCTTCCTCTCTAGTTCTCACCCTTCTTTCTNTGTTTGTTAAATAAATTGTCCCTCGATCATAGATAAGTGTCACATATTGTTAGATTTAGTACTAAGTTTAGTACTAAGAAAAACGATCTTTCCGTTCTTATTACCTTCTTTTTATACCAGTGGGTTCTTTTCCCGCGAATAAATGAATGAATTAGAATTATTGCAGACATACGATAAATATAAATTGTCTTTTTCGCGTAGAATTTAGGAATTTCTGAACGACCAAGGGTTAAGAAAGATGGATGGCAATCGTTCTCGAAAAATAGAGGTGAAATTGTACACCGTAATGCGGAAGAGGGAGCAATTTCTCTGTCGAGCAACTTTTGATTTCTCGACTGACCGACTTCGCTTCCTTTCCAGCCGAAATGGATATGGAATCCCTGTACGACTACGGGGACGAGGAACAGGACTTCTACGAGGAGAGTCCCGGCACCAGGAAGGGCTACCCGATCGATCACAGATCCATCAAGGTCAGTGAATAGACACCCTTTAATCGTTTTCGGTTGAGAGCAAGCGGAAGAAAGAGCCGCTCGAGAACGTCCGAGTTTAAATTTAAGCGAGATCCCACAGGTGAAACGTAATTTACACGGTGTCTAATTTTAAAGCGGGCCGACCAATTTCGAAATAGCAGTTTTCTCGGCGAAAAGCGCCCGGCACCGCGGCCATGTTCACCGGACTTCCTTCTGCCAGCTCTCGACGCGTCGTAATGTGTATATGCTTCGTATTTGTCATGCGATACGATTTTAGCGAACAATCGACGGGCGACTGAAACATATTCAATCGACTAGGGCGGTGGAGCCGGTTGCTGTTGGGTGATCAATTGCTGTGTGTTTGGTCTGTTTTCGAGAATAATCACCTTTATATTCATCGAGTAAGACATGTTGTATTTGTTTATTCTTTTATTTTGTTTACTTTCGAATAACAATTTGTGTGTACATTTATTTCGTTTACTTCTGAATAAAAAAATCGAATATGCCTTATTCGATAAATATGAAGTTAATTATGTCCGAAAACAAATCAGAGGCACAGCAATTGGTCGCACCAAAGCGCCAAGCTTCGCCAGTTCATTTGTTTGACCGATTAAACGGTTTCGTTGTAATTCTTGGATCACGAGGCGCGAAACAACAATGATCGACTAAAAGTGTCCGCTTGGCGTTGCCCGTTCGAAAGTACAGACCGACTGGTAAACAGTGAGAGGGACTATTTATAATTGGATATTCGGGGCTCGTTACTTTCTGATATTTGGACCGCTCTAGCTGCGGCGTCCGATTGTTGCGGGCGCATCGACGCCTCTCTTTAAAAAAAAAGTCTAAAACGCAGCCGAGGATCGTCGGCGCACTCTCGATTCGTTTCTATTTCGAATTGTCGGAAGACGATCGAATCAGGGTCACTCGGTATATCGTTTCGTTTTAGAAATCGTTAATTAACCCTGACCGGCGATCTGTTAGCGGGGGAAGCCGGTCCGGTCCGGTCCGTTCGAAATAGGCCAATCCTTCTCTATTTTCGCGGTGATAGTTGACGTTGGCAGCCGGCGTTGCTGTTGGCAGCGCTCGGATTGTACGAGTGCCAGTAACAATTCGTTCTACTCGGTGCTCTCCGACTTCGCCTCATGAATGAACGTAGAGCAAGCGGCTCATTCACCGTCCCCTCGAGTCCCCTCTGACCTCGCGTGGTCACCTAACTTGTCTAACGCTCCTCTCTCTCTCTCTCTCTCTCTCTCTCTCTCTCTCTCTCTTCCTCTCTCTAGTTCTCACCCTTCTTTCTCGCACGCCCCCCGGGTACTCTTGTTCCTTTTGGTTTCACTCCCTCGCTCGGTCCATCCGTTCCTCTTTGTTCGCCGCTCTCCTTCTCTCTCTCCATCTCCCCTCCGTCTTCGTTCTCTTTATGCGGCCCCTTCCTCCTGCTTCGTGACTCTTTTGCTCCGCGGAACGGCGAGACGCTCCTCTAATCGTAATAGATAACGGATAGAAACGACCAGCCGCGATAACGTCGACTGGTGGGTCGACACGCAACTCTATGATCGGACAAGGATATCTTTCCTGCTCGTGGATTTTCAGACTCGCCGAACCGTTTCTGGACTCTAGCTTCGCCATCTTACTCTCCTTCCTCGTACAGCTGGCTATCCTACAACGAATGCTGCAGCGCACAGTTCTTCTCAGTAAATCATAGTGCTGCGAATATGCCACAACGAACCCGGGGTAATACGATAAAAGTAGAATCGATGACTCCTCTTCATGCTTTTAAATTTATCCCGTTTTGCGTGAAATCATCGTATTCGGTATCACGTATTAGCCGTGGTGCTTCGAACTTCAGGGTTTCGATGATTCGAATAGGTTCCGAAGACGAAACGAAACAGCGAAGAAAAGAACATATGCAACTAAACGAAGACTTGTTACGTTATTTTGTTCGAAAGTTCAACAAACGTTCACTCGATCACACAATTATGTAATTAAACTCGAATACATATGTTACATATGTTACATCATCGAAACGTTTCTCACGATTTCTGAATATTCATCGATACGTCGAGCTGGTCTCGGTCCACGTGAACTCTGATAACCGAGACTCCACTGTATACATGTACGTATCGGTTATCAATCAATGACTCTTCAGCGAATCAATTCGTTCTGTCCAGTGTCTGGTCCGTACAGGATCAGGGCCCAGAAGCATTGTAAAACCATCCGGCAGCGAATGCAACAAAAGGGAAGGTATAACGCGATATTGTTTGAAAGCGAAAGGGAGATCGAGAAGAAACGGAAAGTCGTGGCTCGTTAAAGAGGAACGGGATGCAGCGGAGGCTGCTGCAGTGGCGGTAGCAGAAGCAGAAGCAGAAGTAGAAGCGCAGGGAGGAGCTGAAGCGGGAAGAAAAGAGCACGCGTGTGCACGGCAGCCGTCCGAACGGCTCGGGGGAGGAGAGAAAGGAGAAATCTAAGTCGCCAGAAATAGCATCCCTTCTCGCGTGGAGCGGGGCCTCTCGGAGCTTCTGCATGCGTCGCTCGTTCTAGTCGGATGCACCGTTGCCTCACCTACGTCACACGACGCACTCTACCGACCACCGTGTCTCTCTTCCCACTCTTCCCTGTTCGGCCTCTCTTTCTCGCCTGCCTCGTCGTTTCTTTTCATTAACCGGAGAGGGCTGACGGGGAATAACGTCGTTATATAATCTGCCAGGCGATCGCCGATGCGCGTGCGTTAATTGAACCGGAGGAGGACCTCGAACGTTGCTCGGGGAAATTGAATTTTTCGGAACGGACGTCTGCCGTGCGTGCTTAGACGTTTACGTTCAGGCTCCGCGAAACCGCGGAAGCAGGATGCCAGAGATTGCGTTACGGGTAATTGAATGAACCCGCGCGGCTCTCGAAGACGAACCCGCGAGGCTCGGAGGGAAGATCCGTTTCGTGTAATTGGGAATAGAAATCGTGGAAGATTGAATTTTACTGGACGAGAATTGAAATATTAAGGGCGACGTTACCTGCTTGTAGAAACGCCGCGCTCTGCTGGTAGGAAGGAGGAAGTAATAGAAGCAATTTCGAAGCTGATTGATGGCAGAGAAGGGGGGCCAGTTCGAAGCAATTAGGGATTGAAATGGCGGCGCTGGTCGGCATCGATTCAGGATTAAACGATTCGGGCGTGGTGCATCCGTTTCCTTTCCTGGGTTCCCGTGGCATACCGATCACGCTCGTTTTCCCGTGACCGTGCTCGCTTCG